CTATCCTCTGTCCTCCGGGCCACACACACACACACACACACACACACACACACACACACACACACACACACTGCACGTTTGGCCGGCCAACGAGAACGTGCAGCTACAGAGACAGATGCACATGATTTTTATTAATTTACTGTGTTCTTCTGTCCTCCCGGCCACACACACACACACACACACACACACACACACACACACGGGACTGTCTCAGCTGTTATTTTCATTAAGGAGTGTGCACGTACAGCATGCGCACCTCAAACACGAGCTTACTTTTGAAGCTGTAGTTACGCGTTAGGCCTGAGTGGCGATCGCGAGCATAAAAACTTCAAACTTCCTTAGAGTCCCTTTAAGCCCTTGCCTTCTGTACGGCCCAATCTCAATTTCTTTGAGCAGAGGCCATTCAGGAGGCTTTCATTTATGGGTAAGATGGTAACTATCATTTTAACACAAAAATGTGCTTTAAAAAAGCTTTAAATATTCCTTTGAGAACAATTATAGGCAAAGTAAATTCTGAGGGCCAGCAGAGCTTTGTTGGTTGAAGCAGAACAGAAGATGTGTAACCCAGGCAGCACTCGTAGATGGGCCCCATTCAGTTCAGTTCAGTTTATTTATGTAGTGCCAAATCATGAGTCATCTCAAGGCACTTCACAAAATAAATATCCAGTTTAGCTCATTAAGCCAATCAGTGAAAAGTTTTCTATGGTACATATGTGAGCAAGCCGTATGGGTCCCACCAGGGTTTGTCCACAGTTTCCACGGTGGCCCCACATGAGTTTGCCAAAGATTATAAGCCCTCCAAAAACCCACGTAGAGCCGTTAAAATCTATGTGGGTAAAGATCTTTCTGGGCCAAACCCCTGTGGGGCCACCATGGAAACCAGAGACAAACCCTGATGGGACCCATAATGCTTGCCCATATATATTCCATATGGGGCCCACCTATAAGTGCTGACTGGGAAGTTCCACCAATAGGGACTCTTAATTTTTCTTTTGTCTATTTCTATCATACACTAACATTCTGAGTGAGATTCCTGACCGTAAGCTTCAAAAGTATGTCTATGATCAAACACTGAAAAAAGAAATTGAACCTATGAGTCTCTTTAAGCTTCTGGCAGAATACATATGGTTTAACAAAACTGTAATTATCCATGAATCATCCTCAGAATAAAGCTGAGACCTACACCTGAACACTAACGGGGTTATTCTGACCCTGTTCTCAAAGGTAATATCTGTCAGATAGATGTGGGTCTGTCTTTCAGTCTGGCTCTTAACACGTCAAACATGGCCCTCTGTGGGAATGAAACATGCTGCCCGGCCCACCTCTGCTGCAGAACCTGAGGAGCAAAACAAACACAGCCACATCCCAGCTGGACAGTTATGTTTTGAAGAGGCACAGTTGTTTATAGAAGAGGAACTCTGACTGTCAGAAAGGTTTTTGGTGATGTTTTGGGGGGGGGGGGGGGGGGGGGGGCTTAAATAACTGAGCTAAGAATTAAGTAAAAACATGATTGAAGGTTCAAACCCAGACTACATTTTCCATTCTTTTAAATCATGGTTTAAGTTTGTTGAAGATGTCTGATTTTTTTAATATTTTATTTTTCTTCTCCGTCTGCATTTTCAAATGTTCTGTTGATGGGAATTTCTGAAGCTTTCTGACCATCTGACAAGAAGATCTAAGGAAGTTTTTATGTCCCCCATTGAGCTAAAAATCAAAACCTAGAGCTTTCGTTTAGTTGTCTTCTGCATCTGTAATAACTTCAGCCGATCCTGACGCGAACCCCAGACTTCTTTGTGAGTCACACCAAGAGCTGGATTTGGATTAATTCAAGCTCCCTCTGTGAGCGACCTGGCATCATGCTACACACAGTTGTAACTTGGATCCTTTCTGGAATGAGTCAGAGAAATTACATTTGACAATGTTGGAGATTACAACTTTTTGATGCAGGATTTCTATAGAAGAGCTCGTCTGGGGTGGCATTCAAGCGAATCATATTAAACCCTCACCTCTCTGGGAACTGTCTTTCCAACGGTGCTCTTTCATTTCTGCAAGCAGAAAAATATTAATCACACACGCTGTACATGAGGCCAGGAACACAGAGGTATATAAGGTCTACTCTGGGCTAACTGAGACCACACACACACACACACACACACACACACACGTTCATTACCTTAATAATTGAACATGAGTGTGTCTTTAAAAATGAATCGAAGGTGCTATCAGATTTATAGCATCATTGAACAGACGTTCAGTGTTGTCCTCTTAAGAGGCAGCTCATAAGTTACAACTCACAGTGTTTCCCTCAAATTCAGTGATTTCATGTTTTACAGCGAGGTAAGACATTTTCTGTTTCCTTGTAAAAACACAGTTGTGTTAAATCCAGGGGAGCATCTAGAAAGTCTACAAAGGAGGGGCCAGATGGGGACCTGGTGATATGGGTGGTGCAGCAAAATAAAAAACTAACAGAAATGTTGTTGTATGTCTCAAACATGGGCTGTTTTAGAAGACACGGGGGTTAGGAAACTGCTCTTAGACAGACTTCATACTTTTTTCAAGAAATCTTTTGCACTAAGAATTTTGCAACAGTGGCATACGCATTAAAGGGAAACGATGCAAATTCTTTATTGTTTAAATCGTTTTCTTGAGCGAGTATGTGCTAAAATTACCCTGTACATGGTTAATGAAATGCCATTCAGACCCCCACCACCTCTTGTGGCCAGAATTTCTTACTTGCAACTTCAGTGTGGGAGGTCATCCCCTGTGGGACATGCCGGGCGCTGCAGTTTGCTTTCAGCGCATTTCCTGCATATTTTTGATCATAAAAGCAGCTGATTTGTTTCATTTAGTGATGAATAACTCCTGTAGACACTAATGAAGGCTGATGAGACATTTCAGCTGTTAGATTAAGGTGTTAAAAAGACAAACGCACAGCAAGGAGATAAGTTTCATTTTCAGTTTAACCACAGACAATTAATAATGAACACTAGGGGGTGCTGAAAGCAAGCAAATCTGCCAAGTGTGCCTTTTTAAAATAACTATTTAGTCAGCTTTATTTATATTAAAACCAATTTTGTGTAGAAAGAAAACATCTATTTAAAATTGTATTTTTTATGTTTATTCTGTTTTGGCAAATCATTCAGATTCCTGTTTTTAACTAATGTATGAATTTGTTCTTTATTATCCGCTGCAGCTGTTGTGGATCATTAATGGTAGGAGGAACTCATTACTGTCAGCCATTGTTAATTATCACTGTCTCAAACTACTAATGGTGTAATCCTTTCAATCCAATGATGGCAATGTTTTTTTATTGCTGTAGCCAACCATGGCAGCTGAGACCAAAATATGAAAAATAAGTGACAAAAAAATCAAAAAGTTTCTTATTCTGCAGATTTCCACTGGAGGCTCATAACAAGAGTATGTTGGTGCCGATAATTACCCACTAGTGGAATCCTGCAAGGTGTTTTTATTTTATTTTTTGTTTGTTTTTTGTTGTTCTCATATTGAAATGCTTTTTCTTTTTGGCCTGAAGATTTTCTTTTTCAAACTAATGATTTGGTGATCATTTAAGGGTTTATATTTCTTCAGTTTCTTGTCAAAAGTTGGACGGCAGATATCAGTTCTGTTATTAGAATAAAGTCGAAAATCTCCATGAAATGACTCTTCAGACTCCCATACTGTAACTCAAATTACTGAACATCTAGGGAAATCACTGACACTGTTGATCTGAACTATTTAAACCATGTTAACACTGTAAAAGCTGTAAAAATCAACCATTGATGTTTTTTGGCTTATCCAAGAATTCCCTCTCTCCAGCAACACTACAATTCCTCCTAGGTGATCCAAAGCAATTGCCAGGCCAGGGATTTATTCATTCAGGAAGTTCTGATCTGTGCCAGCATCTCCTCCCAATTGGACTCTGCATCACACTCACATACACAAACCACATCGGCATTAAGAGGAGCAGCAACTCTGGTCTGAGCTCCTGCCCAAATGATGAAGCTCCTCACCTTATCTCTAAGAATGACTCTGGCTGCCTCACAGAGGTGGCTCATTTCAGCCTCTTGTTCCTGGGATCTTGTTCTTTCTGTCATGATTAAATCTCCTGATCGTAGGCGAGGGTTGGAACAGACAAATAAATCTAGAGATCAGATCCTTCTTCGCTGCTACAGACCAGAGCGACACTGTCATTACTGAAGATAAACCACTGATCCTCTCATCACTCACAAACAAGACAGCAGGACATTTAAAATAATCTCTGAAAAGTTAGATTGCAATGAAATAATCTTCACAAAAGCCTGTCCTATCACAACTGGTCTCTCTAACACGTTATATTCATTGACAGTTTTTAAACAAGACATTTTTTTCAAATGTTCTATTAGGCTGTACAGTTTTGACAAAGATGGACTTTCTGTTTACCGTCTGAGCAAAGCTAATTAACTTCAGCCATACAAATATTTATGTACGGAGCTTCTTCTAATTCATTACTCAGTAGGAGAGCTTGTTTTAAAGGCTTGAGAGGTCGGCTTATCTATGGTTTAGAACGCCTTACTCATTCAAATGTAGAAAACTAATTGGTGAATATAAAGCAGTAAATGAAGCACAGTGTTAGTATATCTTGGATTTGACAAATACTTTGAGCAAAGTAAACATGTCAGGGCTGATATTTTAGTTCGCCACTCAAAAAAGTTGCTGTTTTATAATTGTGCAAACACGACAGCTGTCAGGCATTCTGGAAGGTTATTTGCTCTTGTAATCATGTCCCCACTGGCCTTAACAACACCAGAATCTATAATTATAAAAGGGTGTGCATGTGTGTGTGTGGCTGTATAGCCTTTCCTGGTCTGTTTCACTTTCAATTCAAATTAACTACAGTTTTAACGCTGTCCTAATTTCCATTTTGCTCTACAGCTTGTGAAATACTCAATTATGAAATTCACTCAAACTAATCAAAGCTCATGTTTTGGAATTGAGACATTAATCACGTTCTGTTTTGCCAGAACGTCTGCAGCACATTGTGGTGCACCGTGGGAACAACCTGCCACTCAAAGCTGGATGGAGCCGTGGACGGGACCAGCTGTGGGGAGGACAAGGTGAAGCTCATTTCTCACTTAATCCTAAATTTATTGACAGTACAGTTGCCAAACTTACACAGAATCATAGCTCTGAACCAGCTATTCCCTCAGCCCTCAGCAGCAACAACTTTATGGGATTTTTCACAAGTAAAATTAATTCTATTAGAAACAAAACGATTAGCATCCTCCCTAATGCGATTTCTTCTTCCTCAGGAAGTGAGGCAGCATCAGAGGTAACTGTAGAACCTCATCTGTGTTTGAACCGTTTTGATCAAGTTGAGCTTTCAGAGTTATCAAAAATACTAGCTTCATCTAAACCTTCAACTTGCATTTTAGATCCAATCCCAACCATATTATTTAAAGATGTGTTTCCTTTAGTTACTGATCCCATTCTAGATATAATCAATCTATCCTTAGTAAATGGAAACATACCACAGGATTTTAGGATTGATGTAATCAAACCTCTACTTATGAAACCTTCTCTGGATCCAGATGACCCAATGAATTATAGACCAATATCTAACCTTCCACTTTTATTCAAAGTCCTGGAGAAAATAGTGGCCAACCAAGTATGTGAGCATTTAAACACTAATGCTCTGTTTGAGGAATTTCAGTCTGGTTTTAGAGAGTATCACAGCGGTGAAAGTTACAAACGATATTCTCATGGCCTCAGATAAGAATCTTGTGTCTGTTCTAGTCTTGTTAGATCTCAGTGCTGCCTTTGACACAGTTGATCACAATGTTCTTTTAGAAAGGCTAGTACATGTTGTAGGGATCAAAGAAACAGCACTAGCCTGGTTTAAATCGTACCTGTCTGTTAGATTTCATTTTTACATGACACATAATCTTCATACTGGTCACTTATGGAGTACCACAGGGTTCAGTGCTTGGGCCAGTTATTTTTACTATACATATGTTTATACATATATTTATGCTTCCAATTGGTAAAAGCATTAGACAGCATGGGATAAACTTCCACTCTTATGCTGACGATAGTTTTATTTATCCATTAACCCTGATGAAACTAATCAGTTAGGCAGATTACAGGCTTGTCTTGAGGATATAAAAATTGTATGACTCTAAACTTTCTGATTTTAAATAAAGACAAGACTGGAATTCTCATCTTTGGACCAGAACTTCAGAAAAGGAAGCTGCTTAGTCAATCACCTGATCTGAACGGCATTAAATTTGTATTTAAATTTGTGTTTTTACCGTAAATCCTCTAATACAGGCCCGGGCCTGTATTTGACTCAAGCTCATCAAGCTCCAGGCCTTTATTGGAAGGAGGGTCAGAATTAGAGGCAGACCTCTATTTCTATTTGAGCAAAATGAACTAATGGTTTGCTGGAGTTTTTGACAATTAAAATTTTGCCCACATTTTCAAAGTTAAACACATTTCTTTTAACAACGGTAGTTTCTGCTTTAGCCCTCTCCCCCCTCCCCCTGCGCAGCGCCACAAACTCACTGATGCGCCTGCAGCCTCTCAGAGTTCCTGCTGCTCTAAATATTAAAATAATTATTTCATTTTCTGTTCCTCACTTCTGATGACCTTCAATGGTGTCTGTTTGTTGCAACCAGGTACAAAAACTAACTTGTTTTTATTTGACTATTGTTCTGTCCTGCCTGTTTATTATCTTCCTGCATCTTCTCTCAATCCTAAAGAGAAACTGCTACCTGGGTTCATATATATTCACCTTATGAGTTACCTTTGAACTGCAGTTCTAAAAGATCTACCGACCGCAAAAACAACGGAGTGCTCGCTGCTTGCCGGCCGCATCAGTGATCGGTGCGTCACCGGATGACAAGGTGATGCGCCCCGCTCCACAGCAAAATGCATCAGGCGCAAATAAAAGACAGAAAACATCAAAGGAAATGAGCCAACATGAACAATCGTGTGTTAAATTAGTTTTTGAGGTGGCGACACCTGATTTGATAATGTTACTGTGGCCGTGCTCAGGACGCAGATCTACCGACCGCAAAAACAGCAGAGTGCTCCCTGCTTGGCGGCCGCATCAGTGATCGGTGCATCACCGGAGGACAAGGTGATGCGCCCCGCTCCACAGCAGCGAAACACATCAGGCACAAGTAAAACACAGAAAACATTAAAGGAAATGAACTGACATGAACGATCGCTTGTCAGTACCGACGCTCTGGCACAGCGCGTTGCCCCCCCGAGCGCAGGAGCTTGTCACCTGCTGACAGCAGGCTGCTGTCTTTTCCGAGGGCTGCATCTTGCCGGTCATTATCACGTGACAGCGACTAGTCGATGACAGGCATAAAAAGTCCCTATAGTGAAGTCGACTAGTTCATACAACCCTTATTGCTCCCCAGTGTTCTGCAGCGCACGTTCTCTTTGAACTTGGTATCAAATTTTCGCCTCTTCTTCGTCTCCGCACGGTTAAAGTTACCCTTACGGTCTATCACTGGCAAATCAAAAGTGAGACGATGACACAACCGCCCCCCGTACTTGCTTGTTACCACATTCCACCCGGCCACAATAAGAGACCGGCCATTATTCACCTCCGCCGACTCCGACACGGGCCAAAATATGAGACCCGGCCGTTAATTGAATACAGGCCTGTATTAGAGGATTTACGGTATGTTGATTTCATATCATGTCCTGAAAATTGTAAAGTACATTGAATTGCTTCTGTGTTTGAATTGTGCTCTATAAATAAAGTTGCCTTGCCTTGCCTAAATTAACTTCTGAGAACGAGAACCTTGGTGTTATCTTTGACCAGGACATGTCATTCAAATCCCACCTTAAAGAGATTTGTAGAATTTCCTTCTTTCACCTCCAGAATATTGCTAAGAGTAGACGCATCCTTTCCAGGAGTGATGCTGAAAAACGTGCGTGCATTTATTTCCTGGCGGGGGTGTCTGTGTTTGTGGACATGTGTGTAGGGTTGTGTGTGTGTGTGTGTGTGTGTGTGTGTGTGTGTGTGTGTGTGTGCGCGCGTGCGTGCGCGTGCGTGCGCGTGCGTGTGTTTTATGTCTTCTCGTTTCCCAGTGAGTCATGGTGGATGGCTGCTTATACTGATCCAGGATCCTCTGGAGGTTTCTTCCTGTTAAAAGGGAGTTTTCCTCTCCACTGTCGCTGCATACTTGCTTAGTATGAGGATCAATGCTTAATTTGAGCCGGATCTTGTTGGAACAAGATCTGGGAACTATTTTATTTTTAAAGGATTGTTCCAGCAACTCTGCTAGGATCCGGCAACTCACGCGACTAACTTGTGCTGTACGCAGGATTCGAATGACAGGTGAGCTAAAGGGAGCTACTGGAAGCCCTCAACACACCCAGGAGGAACCTGAAAACGATCCTGGTTCTAATTATATTACATTTTTTATGTGGACTCTCCGGGGATTATTTAAAGCTGAGAGGCGCAGAGCTCTGATCGATGACGCGCTCCAGACAGATGCGTCCTGAGCACGGCCACAGTAATATTCTCAAAGTGTTGCCACCTCAAAAACAAACTTAACACGCGATTGTTTATTTCAGCTCATATCCTTTTATGATTTCTGTCTTTTATTTGTGCTTGATGCGTTTCGCTGCTGCGGTACAGAGCACATCACCTGTTTCGTCCTCCGGTGACTTCACCTCACTGGTACGGTCAGTGCGCACTCTGCTATATTTGCGGTCGGTAGATCGTTTTGAACTGCAGTTCAAAGGTAATTCATGAGGTGAAAATATATGAAGCCAGGTATTAGTTTTTTTTTTCTTTTCAGGATTGAGAGGAAATGCAGGAAGATAATAGAAAAGAGAAAAATAGTCAAATAAAAACTAGTTCATTTTTGTATCTGGTGGTTGCAACAAACAGACGCCATTGAAGGTAATCAGAAGTGAGGAACAGAAAATGAAGAAATTCTTTCAATGTTTAGAGCAGCAGGAACTCTGAGAGGCTGCAGACGCATCAGTGAGTCAGGGGCCGCTGCGCAGGGGGAGGGGGAGAGGGCTGAAGCTGGGGAACAGTAAAGATGCAAAAACTACCGTTGTTAAAAGAGATGTGTGTTAAACTTAGAAAATGTGGGCGCAATTTTTAATTACTTGTCACCCCCACCCATGCGCAAGTTTCGGCATCTGTTTTATCTTGCACTTTAATTGGTTTGACATCAGTATTTGCGTTCCGGGAACGTTTTATTTACAAATTAAGCACTGATGAGGATTGCTGTAAAGACTCTGACACTCGTCAGTGACTCAGTGCAATTAGCTGAGTTCCTTAAATAGAAAACGTTTTACTGATTGGCTTAATGAACTGAACTATATTGGAATGTTTACTTTGTGAAGTGCCTTGAGACGACTCTTGTCATGATTTGGTGTTATATAAATAAACTGAATTGAAAGAAAACTCAATCTGACTTAACAATCATCTGCAGGAAATTAATTTTTACTCCTAAAATTTGATTAATCTGTACAAATACAACATTGAAAATCTGTAAAATCAAATAACAGAAACACCCTGAATCACTTTTTACTAATTTATTTATTTCTAGCACAGTAAAATATTTCAAGCATTGGGAGTTTTCAGCTTCTGCAGACTGTGTCCTGACCAGACATGTAAATTTAAATTTAAATTCAGGAAATTATTAAAACTCTGTCATTAATCTTAAATGTCTGATTCATCCTTGGAAAGTCTTGTATTTTATTTTTAATGGTGTTATTGAAGGTGAACACTCCAGTATTTTTGTTTGAGTCTTGCTGCCCATAATGAAAGCAGACAAGCTCATATGTCTCAAGAGGAAACCCGGCCCAATTCTGAGGCATTTTATTGTTTCAGAGTGAAAAGTTCTGATAAAATGTCACACATTACATCGTTTTACAAAACAAAAATAATAGAAGGGATTATAACATGGATAGTTTAAGGTGGAACTGTTGGTGTGTTTTCCCAGTGGTGTGTCCATGGAGAGTGTTTGCCGGTGGGATACCATCCTGAGAGTGTGAACGGAGGCTGGGCTCCGTGGAGCGAGTGGTCGGTCTGTTCGAGGACGTGTGGCTCGGGTGTCCAGAGTGCCCAAAGAGACTGTGATGATCCTGTGTGAGTAGGGGTGTTTTCATGTTTTAAAGGGAATTAGGATTTAAGCTAACTGCAAAACACACTTTTTATTATCAACCTCAAAAAAATTTGACAGCTTGAAGCAATTCGTGCACAAGTAGAAAAGCAATTATTACCTCTCCTCAGATTGCAAATTAAATATTTTGGCTGCAGGATATTTCATTCGGATAGCTGTGAAATTCAGCAAATGTGTTTATGTTTTAATTTGCACTCCAGATTCTTATTCTGGGTCATTTCAGGTAGAAATATGATTTTAGAAGAAGAAATATTTTGAACTATTTAACTGAAGTTATTTTGGGATTTTAATAAGTCCTGTGTAAAAATAGCTATCATCACACACACACACACACACACACACACACACACACACACACACACACACACACACACACACACACCTGTTGAGTGTATTTGCTCTCTTCATTACTTAATTATTTTCATTAAGTCAAAACTGTTACTTGGGCTATTTGTTGATTAAAGACAGGACAACAACAGCCCGGATTTCTATTGTCATGATTTACTAAAGTGCTTTTAATACTGAAGTGCATTAAACTTTCTAAACAGGTACTATCAGCCTTTAGATGTTTTTTCAGCGACTTTTCAACATGTTTGTGAATATAATAAAGCATGTCTAAATAATCACAGTTATGAGGACTGCTGAGCTAGCAAACCAAAGCCAAGAGCTGAGTGGTTTGCTGTCATCGTAAAACAATTTTGTGGCTTATGCAACATTTTGTTATTTCCCATCACGCGGTAGCTTTATTTTTCTGCATACAGATGTCAGATTCAGCAGGACTAATATTTCAGCTGAAATAACCATGCAATGTGGTGTAGAGGCTGAAGAAAGTGTGACATGACCTGCTTTGAATTTCAGAATTTCTGTGCCATTTTTCAGTACAGCAACTGTCTTATCGACACTAGCGTTAGCCTTTAGCACAACAGTCCTGATAAATGTCAAATATGTTTTTCCAAAGTGTGTCCAATCAGGAAGGTTACTGAGATGGTAACTATTTTTTACATGCATAATAACATTCAAAATGGTAGAAATAGCTCTTTAATTAACAACATGTTAATTCCACTTTATAGGTGCAATTTGTAAAAAATGACATCCTGTGGTCAAATATGGGTACTGCAATCCATTATTTTTTTTAAGCAAAATATCACTGCCACTTTGTGAGATTCATGGCGGTTGCCGGTTTCGGATCCTGTGGACTCATGCAGCTCAGATCAGCATCATGGCAGAGTTTTGGAAAATACCTGCAGGCTCCATAGAGCCCAGATCAGCATTGGAACCAGGTCGGGAAGATCCGTGCTGAACCCCAGAAGGGGCCAAGGCCGCTGGTTTCTGGTTAGGAAATGGCTCAGAACCATCCATCCCCGACTTCTGGAAGAGGATGAGCAGCTCTTAAAAATATTAGTGGACTCCTGGAGCCTATAGGCCAGGGTCGGACCCAGGTCAGGACCACCCTGAATAGAATGACAGGTCTCTCTCTCTCTCTCTCTCTCTCTCTCTCTCTCTCTCTCTCTCTCTCTCTGTCTCTCTCTCTCTCTCTCTCTCTCTCTCTCTCTGTCTCTCTCTCTCTCTCTCTCTCTCTCTCTCTCTCTCTCTCTCTCTCTCTCTCTCTCTCTCTCTCTCTCTCTCTCTCTCTCTCTCTCTCTCTCTCTCTCTCTCTCGCAAGTGCTAGGCTACAAACAGTTTACAAATGCTCCTTATAGTTTAATATCAGGAAAGAATATTAACTGACCAATAATGTTTTTTTAATTGTCTGGTACATGACAGTAATCTGTACAAAACTGTGATGTTAACACTCGAGTTTAAACTAGCATCGTTCACTCACCGAGACACCTGCTCTCTCCACGGAACCTCCTGACACCACAGCTAAATATCTCACCTTTGGCCATAATTTCTCCCTCTGGCTTGTCTCTGCTCTGTGGGGCGAGCAGCAGCTTCATTACTGTATGGTTGTGCTCCATCATAAGTAAATATAAACATTTAAACTTTCTTCTGTGCCAGAGCCGGCATTCAAATCCATATTTTTCTCAGGATCACGCTAACAGTTCTCCCTCTGCCGACGTCACTTCTAGTTTGGCACAAAATACTTTTTTTTTTCACAAAAACAACTTCCAAAGCATAAATAATTTGTGTACGTTTTTATTTAGAATTAGTCCCTATTATGTTTCTCTAAACTCTGGTTCAAGGGAGACTCTAACCTGCAAAATGCTCTTGAATAGTTCCCTCACAAAGTCCAAGAGTCGTTGATCATAATTAAAGATGCAAGAGGCGGGAGAGTGATTGGCTCAGTAATGGAGGCTGACAAAGAACTGCAGCTTCCTCACCGAGGACACTCCGCATCAAAGTGGTCATGTACCGGCAAACTCAGAAGTATCTTCCAAAGTTATCTTGTTAGTTCCTGTCAGGGTTCATCCTCCAGTGTGTGCAGCCTAATGGTGGTGGAGGAAATAAACTGAGGCACTTTTGCAGGAAAGAATGGGATGTGAGACATTCCTCCTTTAGGTTTTGCATGCCTTGTGCTTCTCACTCAGATCCAGGACAGCTGCTCTTCTTTCCAGCCTGCAACTCAAGCCTAATTACGATCACTGACTTGAACTTACTATTCCCATTAGGACTCTATGTGAGTCACGGCTGAATGAAGCTTGATAACACTGTTGTCAGCTTTGCAACCGACAGCAGACCTCAGCTGAACCACAGCATTATCACAAACTTTATTATTTAATGTTTTTAGTCAGAGTCGCTATCCATGCATCTAAAAGCTTCCCCCTTCCAGGTTCTTCTAGTTGTGTACAGTTTAAGTTAATCTCCTCTAAATGTATTTTGTATTGCACCTTATGAAGTTCATTTGTAAACTTGGCTTCAGGATCAGGGCTGTGCTTCGACTCCACTAATCATCGCCAGGCTCCTCTTTTCTTGTCTTCTCCTCTCGACCCGAATCTCCTTCCTCCTAATCCATCCATACACTTTTTTTTCTCCTCCCACTCATCTCTTCATCCTTCATCTCACTCCTACACTTCCCTCATTATACCCCCTTTTCATGTCACTCATTAAGCTCAGCTCCCTTTTGTTTTTTGTTTTTTTTGTAAGTCCTGCTAAGTCACAACAAAAAGACTTTAAGTAAATCAAACTGTCGAAATGAATAACATTCGTCACAATAAATTCTGTTCATTCATATTCTCCTCCCTCAGCAATCTTCTTCTCCATTTCTGACCTCTTTCGTAACACTATCAAAGGTTAAAGTCCCATTAGTTGGCTCATACTGGTGAAATTTGTTCTCTGCATTTGACCCGTTCTTAGATGGAGTGGTGAGCTGCAGCAGTGGCTGCACTCAGGAACTATACAGTGGTTTAACCCCCTAATCAAACCTCCTAATGCTGAGTTTCAGGTGGGGAGGCATTTTTTAAGTCTTTGCTATGACCAAACCGTGGATGTCAATCTTCCATGGTGGACACTGATACCACTAGGCCACTGAGCTGCTTTATCAATTTAATCCATTCCTGCTTTCCCTGAATCCCATCTGGATGGGTCAAACAGTGGCTAAATGATTGGTCCAAAGAACCTGAGGCACAACATTCTCATCCATCCATTCAGTCATCCTGTCTTCCTCAACTCTTATTAAACCAGAAAACTCAACAGATTTCTTCTTTAGTCTTTGTTAACATCATCAACAAAATCCTATATTTAAACAACTCTTGAGCTCAGCTTTGAAACAAGACGTGCAGAAATAGACAGTAAAACACATATATGGTAAAATTATGATATTTATTTTAGTTTTTACGTTTCTTGACTTTACTTTTCCCTTCAGTGGTGTGAAAAGCAGCAAATGTTCCAGTTGAAAAAGGTAATCATAGAACAGTTTAAGTCCAAAACTGCTAACAGTTGTGTTTATTTCACCTCAGAATCCAGAGATCTGAGTTTCATCGTGCCACTACTCACAATGGATTTAGACAAAAATATCCTCCATTCTGAAAATGCTTAAACTGGAATTGTTTTGGTATAATAATGGGAAAAAGAAGTCAAATATTTGTTTTGATGCTGGAAAATCTTCAATCGTCAACATTGAAGGTGCTTAAATTAGACTTTTGCAAAGATATAAGAACTCTGAAAATAACAACGTTTGAGTCATAATCCATACAAATTTGAGTTTGACCCACACTAAGGATGACTGATAGTGTTAATATGCTACTTTTGGCATGATTTTGTGTCATTTTATCAAGGATTAAAAAAAACATTTGTAATTGCAACAACTTTTTGTAGAACAGCTCATGGAATATTTTTGGTGAGATCTGGTTTTTAACAGAGAAAGCCTGACAAAAGGAGTTTATAGTGTCTTTGTGGTAGAAGAGCAAATCTTCTCTGAACCTGCGTGATATTCACTAATGAGAAGGTAAACCAGGTGATCTGATGGCAGTGCGAAAACTGAACGATTGAGCGAAAGACATTTGTTACCATTCGGGGTTAAGGCAGAATCATAAATCAGAGTTTTATGTGGATATTTGTAACTGAGACTTAAGACACCCCTCAAAAAATAACGAACTGAATGGCATTAAATAAATCTCCAGGAACAAAGTAAGGAACCTTGGTGTTATCTTTGACCAGGACATGTCATTCAAATCCCAGGTTAAACAGGTTTGTAGGATTTTCTTTTTCCACCTTTGGAATATTGCTAATATTAGAAGCATCCTTTCCAGGAGTGATGCTGAAAAACTAGTTCATGCATTTATTACATCAAGACTGGATTACTGTAATTCATTACTCTCAGGTAGTCCACAGATTGTAGTTAAAAGACTTCAGCTTGTCCACAATGCTGCAGCTAGAGTTCTGATCAAAATTAAAAACAGAGATCATATCTCTCCTGACTTAGCTTCCCTACATTAGCTACCTGTTAAATTCAGAATAGATTTTAAGATCCTCCTTCTCACATATAAAGCTCTTAGTAATCAAGCTCCATCATACATCAGTGACCTGATTGTTCCATATGTTCCAACCAAGCACTTCGCTCTCAGACTGCAGGTTTACTGGTGGTTTCCAGAATGTCTAAAAATAGGATTGGAGGCAGATCTTTTAGCTATCAGGCTCCTCTCTTGTGGAACCAACTCCCAGCTTTAGTCCATAAGGCAGACACCTTGTCTACTTTTAAGACTTATAACATTTTTATTTGATAAGGCCAATGGTTAAAATCTGATGTTAGCCCAGATCTGGACAAGTGGGGGAGTAGAGGGAGGTGGAGTTACAGTCCGTAAAGACGGCTCTTGCTTGCCCTGCATCCAGCATGCCTCCATCTAAAAGGCTAGGTTATCCAAAGTTATCTCTGTAGTTATGCTGCTATAGGCTTAGACTGCTGGAGGACATACTGACCACTTTCCACACTCGACTACTTTCTTATACAATTTGCTCTTTAACTGTATTATTTCCTGCTATTTCAGCTGTTATCTTTATTTTTTCTCTAAGTGTTTTTCTCCCCAGAAGAACCTGCAACGATGTTCTGCTGAGCTGTGGTGACCTCATGGAGGGGGCCATCGGCTTGAACACTGTTGCTAACCACTTAAACATTTTCTCTCTCCTGATAATAACTCTTTGCTTTCTTTGACATTGAATGTGCTACTACTAGTTTACCTGTTTAATTATAAATACACTAGGATAAATACAACAAAGTTTAACTCTCACCAAATAGCATATCTACTAACTGTGTGTGCGTGCGTGCGTGCGTGCGTGTGTGTGTGTGTGTGTGTGTGTGTGTGTGTGTGTGTGTGTGTGTGTGTGTGTGTGTGTATGTGTGTGTGTGTGTGTGTGTCTGCTCTGTCTTCTTGATCCCCAGTGAGTCGTGGAGGATGGCTGCTTATACTGAGCCAGGATCCTCTGGAGGTTTCCTCCTGTTAAAAGGGAGTTTTCCTCTCCACTGTCGCTTAAAGCTTGCTTAGTGTGAGGATTGCTGCAAAGACTCTGACACTAGTCAGTGACTCGATGCAATCTGCTAGGTTGCTTATATAGGAAACTTTTTTCTGATTGGCTTAATGAATTGACCTGTATTGGAGTGTTTAGCATGTGAAGTGCCTTGAGACGACTCTTGTCGTGATTTGGCACTATATAAATAAACTTGAATTGAATTGAATTAATAAATAAAACATCATCTGTGTTCTAAATATGAGGGACTTTTTAGTTTGCATACCTGGAAAAATGACAGAGTGGAAAACCGTGTGAGGACTAATGAGAGAAAACAGATGAAACAGTAAAATGTCTAAGTTGGAGAGTCTGAAAGCTGCCTGCTGGCCACAACATCTCCCGTTCAAATATAATTCTTTTGTTTTCCCACACATAGTTTATTCATTTCATTTCACTTTATTTGTAAAGCCCTTTCCTCGACCTTTTTCAGACATCCAAGGTGCTGGACAATACAACAAGCAATAAGAAGTGCAAGTTGCGGATTTTATGTGGAAGAGACAGTGTCAGATCTGGATTTTATATATTGCAAAAGATGGACTCTGTTCTATTAAACATGCATGCAAAGTCCTAACTTTGAAAGTGCACACATCTCCAAAATTACAAGTAGTGAATGCTTTATTTCCTGTCCTAAACTTTGACTTTCAAGAGGTCATTTATACATTAAAAACTGATTTGTATGACTTAAGCCACTGCTAACTCAAAGCGTTGACATATTTTGGTTCTGTTAACCTTATAAATCGTTGAGTTGTGCAGTAGCTCAGTCCTGATGAAAGATTCTTTGTCTGACTGACACTTCAATCACTTTCAGGGACTATCTGATATCTACGTTATCTACTCTAAATGTAACTGCTCAAAGATAATTTGTATTAAAATGCAAACCTGGTTTTAAATGTACAATAAGTAAGACTTCTGTAGTGAAATAATCACAAAACTGTCTAATGTCTCAATCATGTTGGAGGGAATGGTGCATTCAGTCAGATTTTGTTCTCAGCCGGCTGCGAGGTTGTAGGGTTTCCTTCTTTCATAAAAAGGCCAAAGAGGGACGTAGTCTTTGATTACAATCTGTGAGCCCACGGTGTTGCAGTCTGCTGGCATTCCGGCAACAAGCTCCTGAGTTGTGCCCAAAATATTAGGAGGACAGGCCCAGAAGTTATTTCTTGTGTCCCTTAGAAGCCAACCTTTTGTTTTACCATAATATTAAGTAAAGAAGACTAGAGGCTAATGTTGAGCTAACAATGCTAATGGTGAATTAGCAACTAAAAATATCTCAAGCTACTTTTTCAATCACCAACAATTTGATACTACAGTAAATGTGTATTGATTTACTTATCAACTTACTGTGTAACTCATCTTCGTTCGTCATCTAGAATCTTGTTGCTGATCCATAAACGGCAACAGCCGTGAAACGGGAGAGACAGTCACTGGTGTGTTTAGAAAAATGGACTGCAGTACCCAAATTTGACCACAGGATGTCATTGTTACTTCATTCTTACATCATGCACTTTTAACGTAGACATCAATCATTAGAAGAGTGGTAATAACTTTGACTTTGCTTCAGTCCTAAATACAGAGGCAAATATTGTTTGGGAGAACGACTGAAGTACAGGATCTGCAACATTGACCCATGTCCTCATGACCAGCCCACCTTCAGACATGCCCAGTGTGCCCACTTTAATTCCCTGTCCTACAAGGGCAAGCTCTACAAGTGGGAGGCTGTCATCAACAAGGGTGGGTTCATCCAGCCTGGTTCTCTTTAGGTTTTACTTTTATAAGTTGGATCGTTTTGAGTTTGTCTTTTGTTTTTTCGACAGCCAACCCCTGTGAACTGCACTGCCGTCCACTTAATGAACATTTTTCTGAGAAAATGCGAGATGCCGTTACTGACGGGACACCGTGTTATGAAGGCAACAAGAGCAGAGACATGTGCATCGGTGGTATTTGTCAGGTATCGTGTCAGCTCACATCCATCACATCCTCCAAACTGCACTTATATTGCTAAACGTCTGTTACTGTTCCAGATACCGCAGTTTTCAAACACTTGACTGTTTTTGCTGATTACTGATCTGACTGGTTATACCGGACCTACCCATCTTAGTTATGATTCAAATTTTTTGTCCTTTTTAAAGGACCTGTTTGTTCCTGGTTTACTTCTGATCCAATCTTGAATACATCCTTTTGACCCAGACGTTTTATTTTTTTATTTTTTATGTGGATTTTACCTTTTACCCAGTCCTCATCTATAGGTTTCCTACGTAGTTGGAAATTACATTGCTGCATCTTGTTTAGGACCTCCAGACTTGAATCTATCACAGCGTCAGTCATGCTGTTTTTGAAGTTAACCCACACCTTGTTTTCTTCAGGCGAGTGTTGCATATTTGACATTCTGCGTGACAATGAGCCTGTTGATAGGAAAATCGGAGTGGCCATTATCTTCACAGATAGGCAGGAGCACAAGCCGAATGCTATCACCTTGGGCTAAAATGCCAGCTGCTGATAGACACAGTCTGAATACTGAGCGGACACCGGTCCGACACTCGGCTCTGACTTTATGACATTTTGTGACATATTTTTTCAGTCACCTTTACGTCCTTGGTGCATTTACAGTTGTGTTTATTAGAGAGTCAGTAGAGCATTTCTCTAGTTAAACGTTCATTTCTTACTGACATCATTTGTACTTTTTTCAGTCATCCTGCTTTTCAGAAGATTGCTCATTTATTGCATCCTCTGGTAATTATTTTTCACTGCTTTAAATTATAAGATTACTCATGACTGATTGATTCCTGGGGTATATTAGCTGTAGTGGTCATCTTGATGTGCTGACTCCAAAAAGGAATCTAATGTAGAAGTAAAGCTGAAAAGTTTCTTCTTCTTTGTGTCATTAAAATCTGTCTTGTAGGTTATGACATATTTTACTAACAAACGATGATCATCACCTTCCTCCCTCCCTTCCTGCTTCAGGTGATAACAAGTCCTATTGCAAGTTTGGATTAGAATGTATTGATCATTTATGGAAATATCTGAACTTCCTGCCAGTTGCAATATCGTATTTACAATTAAAATTTCATTGGATGACCTGCATAACTTAATATTGCAATGCAGCTTTTGCTTTTTTAAGACACACGTTTTAACAATTTGTTAATAAAAACACACCACACACACGTACAGTCAGGTCCATAAATATTGGACACAATTCTTACCTTTTGGCTCTATACACCATCACAGTGGATTTGAAATGAAACACAAATGATGTGCTGTAACTGCAGACTGACAGCTTTAAGGGCTTTGAGGGTAAGTACATCCAAATCAGGTGAACGGTGTAGGAATTACAACAGTTTGCATATGTGCGTCCTGCTTGTTAAGGGACCAAAAGTAATGGGACAGAATAATAATCTTAAACCAAACCTTCACGTTTTAATACTTGGTCACAAATCCTTTGCAGTCAATTACAGCCTGAAGTCTGGAGCACATGGACATCACCAGATGCTGGTCTCATCCGTGGTGGTACTCTGCCAGGCCTCTACTGCCACTGTCTGCAGTTCCTGCTTGTTCCTGGGGCATTTTCCTTTCAGTTTTGTCTTCAGCAAGTGAAATGCATGTTCAGTCGGATTCAGGCCAGGTGATTGATTTGGCCATTGCATAACATTCCACTTCTTTGCCTTAAAAAAACTTTTTGGTTGCTTTTACAGAGCTTTGGTTCGTTTTTCTGCCCTGTTAAGAGCCGTCCAATGAGTTCTGAAGTGGTTGGCTGAGTTTGAGCAGATAATATTACCCAAAACACTTCAGAATCCATCCCGCTGCTTTTGTCAGCACTCACATCATCAATAAATACAAGAGAATAGGGCTGCAACAACGAATCGATAAATTCGATGAAAATCGATTACTAAAAGCGTTGGCAACGAATTGCGTCATCGATTCGTTGTGTCGCACAACTCTTCCAAAAGCGCCCCCCCTTCCCGCCCGCCGTTGCGCGCAGACCAGAGCAAGTCAGATCAGCGCGAGGGAGAGCCGCAGATCAGCGCGAGGGAGAGCCGCAGATCAGCGCGAGGGAGAGCCGGCAGATCAGCGCGAGGGAGAGCCGCAGATCAGCGCGAGGGAGAGCCGCAGATCAGCGCGAGGGAGAGCCGCAGATCAGCGCGAGGGAGAGCCGCAGATCAGCGCGAGGGAGAGCCAGTACAGGCAGATCAGCGCGAGGGAGAGCCGGCAGACTTGAGCTGCTGCGAACCGGTTCCGCATTGTTGCACAGCGATCCAGGCAGCTGCTTCCAGCGCACGGTCCATTCTCAAAGTGGCGCAACCAAAAAACTATAATTAGCACACGATCGTTCATGTCCGCACATGTTCTCTATTTTCTGTCTTATTTGTGCCTGAAGCGCGCTACTGCGGAGCTCATCACCTGTGCTGTGGTGATGTCACCTCACGCAGCATCGAAAACGCGCTCTGCGCTTTTCGGTCAGGAGATCCCTTTGATCTGCTCAAAAGTAACTGATGAGGTGAAAAGGTAAGAATCCAGGCAACAGATTTTCTGGAGAATTAAGAGGAGATGCAGGAAGATGAGAGACAGACAGGACAGGAAAATAGTTCAATAAAAACAAGAAAACAAAACAAAGTGTTGAAAAGTAAAATGTAGGTAGATTTATCTCCACTACACGTTTTTACCAGTAAAAAACAATAAGTTATACACATGTCATATTTATACATCTGATACAATTCAGATCACCTTCAAAACTCAGTCACACACCCAGGGCCGTTTCAAGACATTTTGGGGGCCAAGGCAAAATGCCCCCCCCCCCCCCCCCCCCCCCAATAACTGGGCTCCCCAGAAGCCTCTGTGTAATTCATGCCCTCTCCAGTAGTGTTAGTTATATGGTGTTTATAAAAGCCCCTCAGACATTACTGACATGCTCTAATATTATCAGATGAAAAACTAAATTATCAGACATGCTGTCTCATCTGCTTATTTTATAAACTTGCAAAAAGTAACAAAACCATTTGAAAGCCACTATTTGTGGATTCTCTGAAAGTTTCCATGGAGTGTGTGACAACTTATTTTTTCATTGATCCTATCGTCTAATCTCACAGTTGAAACAAGCATCCTTAATAATCTGTGCACAGGAAGCTTACCGATGCTGTAGTAAAACAAAAGGTATAGTAATTTATTATTAATAAAACCTTGTTGCAACACTAAAGCAGAAAAATTAGATTTTGCATTAAATATGCAAAATATTTACATATGAATTGTTTTAGAGCCCTTTAATTGGCAGAATCTGATATTAATTTAGTTCTTACAAAAAATGGGTCCCAACATGGTTTGTGTGGCGTTGCCATAGTGTGACGTCATAGGCACAGATCCCCTGTCCTCTTGTTTGGAAATGGAAATATGGTCACCCTACATTAAACAAACTGTCCACCCGGGCTTTTGCACTGCACAGAGACGCTTCGCTGCCTACGACTGAATGTCAGTTGAGAGTCAGTCTCATGCAGACTGACCAATGAAGAGAGGGCCTCAAGTTAAGACCCTCTCCTCATTGGTCAGTCCACACGAGGTGGGTCAAAGATTACTCTGGGCGGGTTACGTGTTGTCAGGCATTCAAGTATTGAGTATATTTACTGCATATTACAGTAAAATATTCTGTATGTGACCACATTATGGTGATCCTTGGGTCGTGATGATGGAGCCCTTGAATATTGTTGCCCAGGGTACAACAAAGTGTTAATCTGGCCCTGGTTCCGCCGTCACATTCCCGCAGAAACTGGTTGATCACACCGGGGCCAGACTACTAGCATGTGGTTTTACAACCACAATGTCCTCGGAAGCAAAAACGCTTTTAAAAGGGAGGGAGGAGTCCTAACTGTTGCTGCAGGCGTGTTGTGTGAGAGTGCAGTTATATACTGGTTAATATATTTTTGGGTTCAGTTGCTTTCATGTGGCCTAATGTGAGTCTATTTGGGATCATTGGAATGATCAGCAGCATTTCTTGATGTGACTTTATGGCAGTTGCCCAGGGCATCATCGCAAGGAGGATGGCATTCATTTACTTTTGTTTTATTTGGTATTTTTTCAGTCATTTTTGGAAATAGTGATCAATTTTGATAAATTCACAGCCTATGTTTAATTACATTTAAAATAAATGTCAACAGATGAGATCAAACAAAACAGATGAGAATTGCCCTTAAGCTGTTTAACTTGGACCAAGCATTTTAGGTCACAGATAGATGTAGCTTAGGGTCTCTGTCTATACACCTTATAAGACAATTTAGGTGATGGCATGTTGTTTTTCTGCTATTGAACTGTTTTCTAATAATGTTGTGTTAAATAAAGTGAAGGAAGGAGAGAAATAATGTTTCCCTAGCAGTTTTTAAAAATTTCCCCATGTAATCCGATTAATCGATTAATCGTGTCGAGACCCCATCCGATTAATCGATTATCCAAATAATCGTTTGTTGCAGCCCTACAAGAGAACCTGTTCCACTGGCAGCCATGACACTACCACCATGTTTGTCTGATGAGGTGGTATGCTTGGGATCATGAGTAGTTCCTTTTCTTCCCCATACTCCTCTTCCCATCACTCTGGTCTCATCTGTCCATGTTGTTCCAGAACTGTGAAGGCTTGTTTAGATGTTGTTTGGCAAACTAATCTGGCTATCCTGTTTTTGAGGCTCACCAATGGTTTACATCTTGCGGTGTATGCCCTTCGGTGAAGTATTCTCTTGATTGTTGACTTTGACACTCATATGGCCTGGAGGGCCGGTATTCAGCACGTTTTGGTTTTAACTCTGTTTCAACACGCCTGGTTTCAATCAGCAGGTGATTAACAAGCGTCTGCAGAGCCTGCACAGGTGAAAGTGTGTTGAATCAGAGAAACCATGAAAATGTGTTGGATACCAGACCTCGAGGACCGGAACTGAATACCCTGTCCTAGAGAGTGCTAATGGTCTGGCCAACTGTTGTGAAGGGTGTTTTCTTCACCAAGGAAAGAATTCTTTGGTCTTACACCACAGTTGTTTTCCATGGTCTTTCGGGTCTTTAGGTGTTGCTGAGCTTCCCAGTGTGTTCCTTCTTTTTAAGAATGTTCCAAACAATTGTTTTGGCCACGCCTAATGTTTTAGCTATCTCTCTGATAGGTTTGTTTTGTTTATTCAGCCTAATGATGGCCTGCTTTACTGACAGTGACGGCTCTTTGTATCTGATCTTGTGAGTTGACATCGATTCCAAATGCAAATAGCACACTTGAAATGAACTCTGGGCCTTTTATCTGCCTATTGTAATTGGGATAATGAGGGACTAACACACACCTGGCCATGGAACAGTTGAGAAGCCAATTGTCCCATTACTTTTGGTCCCTTAACAAGTGGGAGGCACATATGCAAACGTGTAATTTCTACACCGATCACCTGATTTCTATGTAAATACCCTCAAAAAATAAGCTGACACCATGCTTGTTTCATTTCTAATCCATTGTGGTGCTGTACAGAGCCAAAATGTTAGGATTGTGTTTATGTCCCTGTATTTATGGATCTGACTGTATTTGTGCTTAGATTTTACAAATGTATCGATGCTGTGTGCGTACAATTCTTCAACAAGACCCCTAATCTAATGCACCGCCCCAACATTGTTGTCATTTTCTTTGGGAAAACAATCAAATTCTTTCTTCAACCAGGGCACTGTGGTTTCTGTTGATGAGTTTTGGAATATTTCTTTTCCTGCTTTTAGGCTTCAGCTGAAACAGTGAGAGGCCTTCGTACTTGCACATTTGTGCTGTCTTAAAATGAAAATGCACATCAGTGTTTTCACTAAAGTGAACATTTTTACCTCTGAACTATACTTGGCTTCTGCTTTATTGTAAATTTGATTTTATTTCATGCTTTGCTTTTGCACCTGTTGTGAGCAGCAGCTCTGCATGTGGGGAGATAAAAACCAAAAGGTAGTGCAGAGCAATTTTTAGCTTCACACCAGATTTTATTCATTTTATTTGCATCACCTTGAACTCAGAGCCCCGTGAGACAACCTGTGCTGTTTTTGTAGGTTTTACTAGTTTCTGTGTGACTCCCTTTCAAGAGCTTATCTCTTGAAGGAAAAAGGATAAGAGCTGCAGCCTACCAATGTCGGCCTAATGTCTGTTAGGATGATGTGAGAACTTTTGTGTTGCAGAACATTGGCTGTGATTATGTGATTAACTCCGGCTCTGTTGAGGATCGCTGTGGAGTCTGTAACGGGAACGGCTCCACCTGCACAACCGTCAGGAGAACGTTTGAGCAGCATGAAGGGATCGGTAGGTTCAGTCTACTTTAGCAGTAAGCCTTTTAAATAATGTATGTTGTCACATTGTGGAAAAGGGGGCTAAAGGTGACTTTATAATTTGGGTGATGGTTGATTATTGACTCTTTTTCAGGATACATTGATATTGGGCTGATCCCGGAAGGAGCCTGGAACATCCTGATTGAGGAAGTGGCTGAAGCTGGGAATTACCTGGCTCTGCGAAGCGACAACCCCGGCCAGTATTATCTGAATGGTGGCTGGACAATCCAGTGGAACGGAGAATACAAAGCTGCTGGAACCGTGTTCACCTACGAGAGGTCGGGAGACCTGGAAAACCTGACGTCTCCTGGGCCAACAATGGAGCCTATGTGGATTCAGGTTTGAATTGTTTTTCATGTGGCCTTAATCAGTGATGAACCTAGTCAATCTCTGTTCATGCAAACCTCTTCTAGTGGAAAGCATAGGGAGGATAAAGATGCATTTCTTTTCTTGTACAGGTACAAACCCTTTGGTCCTTTTGAATGTTGCATCGTGAACAAAACTTTGAGTTCTGTAGCTTCTCTCTTGAGCTCTTGTAGTGTAGATGCTGTGAAAAGGGTGAGTTGAAACCTTCAGCGGTTGACTCGATGTAGTCCCTCATCAACTTTGAGGTTTGTTTCATTTACGGGTTGAATCCATCCGCCTTTGTTCCTCAGCTTCAGACCTGGATAGATTTCCTCCACCAGTTTTTATATTGATTTCTTACTTCACTGATGCAAGATGTTTTCTGTCCCAGTGTCTGCAACACAAGTTTAGCATGATATAATTTATACAGATGTAACGAATATTGCAAATGAATGAACGTTTAGAAGATACATTCTTTTTTCAACCTAAATTTGTATGTAGATTCTTGCTATTTTTACTGTACTGCGTGTCCGTTTCTTGCTCTATTCTTGTATCTGATGCTCAAATTTGGGATGCAAACACGTGATGTTGTGTTTCTTTCTTGAAGATCGTCCCTTGAGGGTCATGATTGTGTTGTTGGAACAGTTCAGCGGCTCTTCAAGCTCATCTAAAGCTTCCCAAATCTCCTTTCTAAGCTCCTTTGCAGCCAAGTAGCCATTTTAATTGGTCTTTCTCAGACAGATTCCTGAAATACTTTTTGTTCCTTTTCCGGGTCTTAACTCGACCCTGCACTTTTTGGCGTTAATTGCTTTCTTAATTGTAAATTGAGAAAACGTTGTGAGAAAGTTAGAAAAGGTTAGTGTCAAAAAGCAGCAGAGTGTTGGGATAAAGTTTTAGATGCTAAAGTGTTTGTTTTTACCTGAATGTATTTGTACCTAAAACAATTTTAATTTGAGCAGCAAAGCCACATATTTTAAGTTGTCTGAATGTATCATCAAAGTGTTCACTCGTCAAACTCAAACCTCACATCACTATCTTTTCTGTAAGCCCAAGTTGTCTCTACATCCGTCCCTTCTGACATTTAAATGACAGCCATAGTATGCAGGTGAGAATCTGACAGGGAAATGAAATATCAATAAGTTAGGCACTACAGCAGGAGAATAAGATTTCCACAAAATACCTTTTCACCTCTGTGTCTTATCCTCCAGAGGCATGTAGAGCTGTGTTTTTGCTAAGAAGGGTGACAAGCAAGGTGGCACATCTCAATTTCCAAAATGTTCTTTCTTCATTCTTCTCACATCACAGCAATATAATGTCCACTACATTTACAGTACAAATGTTTTTATTAGTTAACTGTGCTACGTTTAATTTTTGAGTAATAGATCTTGTGCTCCATTTTTACTTTTTACCAACTAAGTTAATTCTTCAGAGATGTTCAAGCTGTCACGGGAGACAGACAGCAGTGTGTGTGTGTGTGTGTGTGTGTGTGTGTGTGTGTGTGTGTGTGTGTGCGTGTGCGTGTGCGTGTGCGTGTGCGTGTGCGCGCGTGCGCGCGTGGGTGTGTGTGTGTGTGCGTGTGTGTGCGTGTGTGTGCGTGTGTGTGCGCGTGTGCGTGTGTGCGCGTGTGCGTGTGTGTGTGTGTGTGTTTGTCAGTGAAAAAGAGCTGTTCTCAGCTCTCAAATATGTGTGTTGTAGCTTCTCTTCCAGGAGACCAATCCAGGAATCCGCTACGAGTACACCATTAGTCGAAATATTTCCGAGGACAACAACATTCCCGGAGCTGTTTACTTCTGGAAATATGGATCGTGGACTGAATGCAGTGTTACCTGTGGGACAGGTGAGACAACCAGCTTAAGCTCAGATGATGGACTGATATATCTCACATTGACATGGTACCTATGTCGTACAATCTATGGAACAGATTTTGATCTTGGGTTCTGATTGTATCCTGATTTTTTTCACTGCTCAGTTTTACCAAACCTCAATGCTTCAGTCTTTCTGTCTGGGTTCTAAGCACCGTCGGTGCAGTAAAATGTGTATATCATCAAAATGGGATCCAGACTTTAAAGCTAAGACTAACGTAAAACACGACCTAGGCCATGAACACAGCTAAGAAGCTTTGATGACTGAGCCCAGGTTGCAGTGAAACACTTCCTGATAAACGGTGCGGGGAATGCTGGGAAGTGGAGTTCTAGATGTGAGGTGGATGAGCTGGGATCGTGACACTTGGCCGTCCAGTGGCTGGAGTGCTGGGCTGGACACCTTAACCTCTGGACTACCATAGCCAATACAGCAACTGGCTTGCCTAAGATGCTGTTTGCAGGCATGTTTTGTCGGGAGCAAGCATGGGTGGAGTTTCACTGAAACTAACCAATTTATTTCCAGGTAGAAATTCAATAATGAAAATAACTCATGATCAAGATAGATGACATCTCAATGGTGCTCAAATGTCCCTGCCTTTCCTCTTAAAGGTTTAAAATAGGAAGATATGGAACCATTAAAACCAGTTTTGATACCCATCTAAAAACATGCGTTACTTTGGTAATACTCGTCTGTTACACCATACGTTACTGTGGAGTAGACGAGTCAAAAGGGCTGGAGAAAATGGCTCAGTTCTTCAAAGCACTTCTACACTTCTGACACTCTGATGGAAGAATGGAAATTTGTTCTCCCAGTAATGTTCTCTAATTTGCTGTTCTGACGATGGTTCTGTCAAACGTGTCCCTGAAATATCCTCGTGCTGCTCCCTCAGTCTCACTCACATGTTCATTTTCATTATAAACCGGGCCACCGCTGACCTCTATAATCAGGAGGTAATGCAACACAAGTGTACTATTGTAGAGCATCAGTCTATTCTTGCACACGGCCCGATCACATCCTGCTTTGAGCCATCTCTGTGACATAAGCACCTGAGTTTTGGCCTCACATCAGTGAATGTTAATTGCCTAATTTTGCTGTGAGGCAGAGACGAGAGTAAAACTTGTTGCTTGTGCTGTTGGGCATACATTTTTTTTTACCTTACACCTCTGGCTGTTAGGAGGCCTTGATTGAAATTTGCAGGGGGGTCTTGGGTTTTGCAGAAACCTCTAAGAATCTAAAGTGGACTCTTTGTTTTTATTTATTAGTATAATTACATACCTCCACTTACAAGGTGAGAGGAACACTGAAAAATAATTCATATGAGAGTTTGTTGTTGATGTAAAACTTGGTAAAAGGAACATATATATGACTTTTTTTCTTCTGTTATAGTTTCATGATATATAGATGTTCTTTGTTACAATGTTACAATGTTCTTTGCACTGAATCCCTCTCACAGGAAGTGATTTCAGCAGTTTAATTCTTGATATTTTTAGTACCTGGCAGAATGAGTCATTTCAGGGCTCTGTCACCTTAAAAAAAACAAGTGGCATCTGGTCACGCCCACCCATCCCCACTCTGCTATAAGCGTAGAAGCTCTGGGATCAGCGAGGGGCTTTGAGTAGAGTCACAGCTCCTCCATCAGCAGCTCTCACTCTTTTTTAACCTATGCTTGTTCACTCTGATTCATGCTGTATTTCATTCAGCAACCAAAGTTAAAGTCAAGTTATAGTCCCATTAGTCATCATCACACACTGGTGTGATTACATCTCTGCATTTGGCATATCCCCGTGGGGAACAGCAGTGTCTGCGCTCAAGAACAATTTGGTGGTTTTACCCCCCCAGTCCAACCCCTTAAAGCTAAGGGTGTTTCTCAGTGTCAAGAAACCTCACCTTGTTGCCTTGGTCGTTCCCCGGTTGCCTAGGAGATAGGTCATAAGAAACCGCCAAGGCGTGTTCCATTCGGTTCCAACGTTCATGTTCTACCGAGGTGTCTGTCCTCCGTTTGTTAGCCATTTAGCTAACTGAGCAAGGATACATGTGAGGTACTTTGTTGCCTTCTCTTGGTCAGAAATTCCCAGAATACCGTGTGGTACTTTCAGAAGGTTGTGGATCAGGAGCTGGGACTTTAAATGTAAGTCAACTAATTGTAGCTATCGGGCTGATATCTAAAATGTTTTTAGATCTAAACCAGTTAGCTGTAGTTGTTTAGCTGCTTATTAGTTGCAGCTTCAGTGGCTAGCAGGTAGTAACTCGCTTACATATTTAATTTAACCAATATATACACAACTACAAAAGTTAAAGGCTACATTTATTTTGAAACTTATATGTATGAAAGATAACTTCACCTCATGTGTCACGAGGTAAGTCTGTTTCGAATTACCATTTTCTTTGACCAAGGAAGGACAGTGTCCTCAGAAGCAAGGCACCTTCCCAAGGAAAGGTGAGGTTCCTTGGCATTGAGAAACACCAAGTTAGGGAGGCATTGGAGCTCACTTTTAAAGACTTTGGTATGACCCGACAGTGGATTTGAATCCCGATCTCCCAGTCCCAGGGTGGACACTCATACCACTAGGCCACTGAGAAGGAGAACTACACATGTATGTGACGGACAAGTTCTTATTTATTGGTACAGAGTCTCCAAATGTCTTAATACAAACTTCACTCCCTCCAGGAGTCATTTGATGAAACATTTCACATCTCTTTGTTCTGTTCTGTATTATAACTTTTAACTCAATTACAACAGCAAAAGAAAGAAGTCAATGTCAAGTTTTGGTCAAATGAAGACGCACTAACCCTTTCAAAAGTGTGACCCGTGTCTGAACAGGGTAATGTTCTTAAAGGTGCATTCCAATCTGAAGAAGAACCATTCAGCTCTGTGCTTTGATGGATCTTCAAGGACCATCGCCCAGCTCACCTGAATCAAATCTGATTGGGCCGTTGCTTACAAAGGCAATAGGCTGCAAAAGCTGTAGAAGAATCCTCGTTTTTGACTTTGATCCATTCATGCTGCTGTCTCTTAAAATAAATGAAACTGCATTTATTCAGTCAGTCTTTGTACCGTGTCCCCCTCATCGCCACAGGGGTTCTCTTTAATCCCTCTCTTCAGAAATAGATTTAAAGATCCCCCTAAAAACACCATCTCTTTGCCATTTATAGATTATGTTTCATCACAGCAGCTATGTCAGGATAGGATTTTTCTGTTTGATATGACCTAACATTGTAGAGAGAACGTACCCTTATGTGCCTTAGTGATCACTTTGGAGTTTGAATAAAATAAATGTTCAGTCAACTGCATGTGTGTCCAGAGCTCAGCTGTGACTCTTTTAATACTGCTCACAAAACAGATGTTTCTTACACGAAAGGAGAGTATACCTTTTTCTTGGTGCTAGGTGAGCTCTCCTTCAGAGCTAAGTGTTACCCGCTGATCACTAGATCATCACAGGTTAAGGGTACAGAATATATTTTGGTTTGTAAATTTGAAAAAACAAACTTGTGAATTATTTTCAAGTTGTCTTTATTTCTCACCTTCTCCAGGTATCTGATTTTGCATCTAACCTGGTAGTGCTGACCTTTAGTAATATCTGTGACGGTGTAAATTAGATATCTAATGTGCTCCGTGGCCTTGAGGATCAGTGCAGAGGGGTTGCTGGTTCTTTCCTTCTTCAGTAGAGTGAAGGTCCTCTCAGGAGGGCTGGAGAGGGATAAAGAGGGCGGGGTGGATGAACCTGGCACGGCCTGAAGAGAAGAGTATTCAGGTGTGCTGCTGCATTCAATTCTGTTTGAAACTCAGAGTCACCTTAGGTCTGGTACTTTCTGAAATGTGTTTCTGAATTGCCATGTTTTTATTTCTCACCTTGACAGAGTTGTGTGATCGATGTACTTTATCTCTCTTCACGATGGGGCTGGAAGTCCCAGTCTAAATTACATGAAACTGCTTATTCCTGCACACAGGCAAAAACCGAGAAAAAATAGGAGTGAGCTATAATACACTAACAGACTGCTACAGAAGAGCAGCTGTACTTTGAAGGAAAACTCTCACCCTGAACACCATCTGTTCTCACTCCTGCCTTCTGGAAAAAGACGCAGATGATGTTAGAACATCAAGCTTGTACGTGGAGCTCTACCTCTTTAACCGGTTTTGTAGTTTCCTCAAAATAAAAAAAATAAATAAATACATTCTGCACAAACCCTAAATGTATTTTTTGCCCTTTAGTGGATATACCTAAATGCAACAGGTGGAGAAAGACGACGATGTTATAGTTTTATTTAATTAAATATCACTAGAAAAATTAAATATATACTCATTATGTAATCGTTCAAAAATTGTTCAACTAAAATCAAATTCTATCCTTTACATGAATCCAGCTTTATAGGGTTGAGCTTTGACATTTTTCTGTCTATCAAATATATTTCCTTCTTTTTAATTTTTGGTGTTAAACACGACAAAGCTTGCCAGATGGATAGACTTCATCTGTTGTTTTACGAAATTATGAACAACAGATTTCATTTTGGAAAAAGGTTCTTTAATAGCTCTCATTTATATTAATTACATACATTTAATTTGAAATATGACGTTTGAAATTTTTTAAGTTCCCAACTAATAAAAAAAATGTCTGGGTATATGACAATATGACAATGACCTGAGGCACACAGACAGGATAACCAAGGAGTGGCTCCATAAAAAGCATATCAAGGTTCTGGAGTGGCCTAGCAGTCTCCAGACCTAAATCCAACAGAAATCTTTGTAGAGAGGAGATCTGTGCAGTGTGTGCAAACCTGCTGATAGTAAACGTTTTACATCTGAAAGGCTTCTGTACCAAATGTCAAAGCTTATTTTCTCATGTGTTCAAATATGTATGTACAGCAGTGCAATACAAATACAATTTTTAAATATCAATGATTTCCTGCAATGATTTTAAATGTTGTCTCTCACAGTGGGAATTCAACCACAATATGGATTTCAGATCCCTCCATGATTTCTAAGTGGGAGAACTTGCAAAATTGCATTGTGTTCAAATACTTACATTCCTCACTGTACGTTAGCTATAGTAACAAACAGTTCATCATCCCTTCTGTCCTTTTCTGCCTTATTAAATCAACACAACAATATTCATTTGAATTAAATGCATTTGATTTTGAGTCCTCTGATTTGAAAACATCTCACTGAAGCTACTTTTTTTTCTATCTTACCTGAATGGCTTGTTTCTATTGTGTTTGTCTTTTTTCGCTTATGCAGCAGTAGGGTTAGAGTTCTGATTAAGAGGATTTCCCTCCCATTTGTGTTGCAGGGTTTCAACAGCAGATTGTTTACTGTGTTGAGAGGACCACGGGGATAGCAGAGCAGCATTTGTGTGACTCGTCCACTCAACCAGACAACAACCAAACCAGCTGTAACAAGGATCCATGTCCAGCCACGTCAGTCTTTACAAGGATTTCGTTTTTCACGCCAGCAGCTTTCACATTCACATTCAGACAAAGCAATTTGTAGTTATTTAGGCGGAATGGCAGCAAACTGTGTAACAACTGTTTTGTGGTGGTCTTAAAATGTATATTTATTTATTTATACCTTAAGATCATGGTTAAGACCTAAATCACAGGACGATGATTGGAGCATTTGGAAGACTGGAGGTCAAACAACCACCACTCATCAGATGTTTTATGCACCAACATATATAATGTAGCTTATTGACTTGGGATAAATTCAGTGGAGAAACTCAATTTATTCTCAGCATCAGACTTTTTGGAACATCCTAAGTCAGCATTGCTTCTGTCACAGATCCCACAAGTCCATCAAAGGATATGACCACGTTGTCCATCGTTAGGACACCACTGATGCTAACTAATGAGAAGAAAAACAAAACACCAGTAATTTGTGATTTTACATAATATTTTATTACAAAAACTAAACAGTAACTTTGCATTTGACATCCATTTTAGAGAGTTTTAATTATTATTTTTCTTATTGATCAGAAGAAGAAAAACACAGCATGTCTCTAAAATCTCTGAAAACCTTCTTTTTGTTTCGAAAACTTCTACATCAATAGTGTGCATTTAATTTAAATCAAGATCATTTTATAGTCAATTATTTAAAATAATATTTAAAGAGCAAGTTCACTGAGAAGCAAATTTTTTGTAATCAGTTACTCTGGGTTTAACATGCAGGCTGAATGTGAAAATTGTCTTGTACACCTTCAATAGAAAATAGGGACACGCTCAGAGAAAAGCCATTCAATTCAATTCACACTGTAAATTAGCATCCATGGACCCATCTTGGCTCGCGACGGGGAAGGCTGTCGCTGATTAATGTCACTTAAACACTAGCATCGTCTCCACTCTGCCTGCCCCAGCCTGGCCGTGTTCATCCCACAGTGCCTTAGGAATGCAGATGCGATTGAACACATGGGACGGTCTGTGGCCTGTGATTTCATGAGTGCATCTCTTGAGCACGTGGGCGGGGCAAAAGAGCACAGAGAAGTCCGAGGTGTCTCCATTATTAAACAAAAGTGGCCACTGAGAAGTGGTGCGTGCGTGCGTGTGTGCATGCGTGCGTGCGTGTGTGTGCGCCCCTCATGCGCTCCTCATAGCAGTGTGAGACAGAGCAAAATGGCTTCAGTCAGAGGCTCATTAATTCCACAGCATCCAGAATGACCGCGCATACGGAAACCCCCGCAAACTGATTCTATCTGTCAATCGGAGGCTCATGTATGCATGATTTTGAGCCGGCCAATCAAAAACAACAGTTGGTATGTCACCATTGTTTGGCTCCAGGCAGACTACCTCGGGAAGAGGGCTGAAAAGAGGTCCAGTTTCGCACAGGAACATCCAAGGCTACCTAAATGAGAACACCCCAATCCTGGTCCAGGCAGAGTAGAGCACATGCTAGTGTGTAAGTACCATTAGCGTCCAGGATAGAGCAGAGCACGTCTCAGCCTGTAGAAGGTAACTGTTAGCATTAGCAACTTTACAATAGAGCAGAACTCCTTCAAGCTTGTTATTTGTGGAGATAAAACATCAACATTGCCAATTGAACGGTGTCAGTGGTAGAGTTACATTCTTGTTAGCCAATCAATGGCGAGATGTTCATATACTGTACATCAGAAAATAAGACCCCAAATCCTATCATGCTGAGCTCAAATCTGCTCTGGCTCATTTCTAGTTCCTGGAACAAGAGCACCAGTGTTTTTTCTCCTCACGTTTGACTCAGAAGTTATTAATTAATTCTAGAGATCACCATAGATGTGTTGGAAAAAAAAGAGTGAACTTGGTCTTTAACTTTTTCTATTTGACTGGCCTATAAAAGTGCAGTGTGTACCTGACTGCGTGTTTCAGTTAGCCGGTTTGTTTTCTTTTAAACCAGAATACTAAATGAAAAATGATCCAAGTTTGTCGTGTAATTTTTGTCCTTGAGCCAGAGCTTTACGTATATTACTGTCATCCACAGCACACGTCACAGTTGTGAGGTCTTTTCTTTTTTACATTTCCTGTCAGCCCCTTAGTCAAACTCACCCCACCGTGGGCAGAGTGAAACCTGACACCTCCCTATTGACCAGCTACCCTTTAAAATGACACACTAAGGACATTTTGTGCAGGGAACAATGAAAGCCGTCTCACAGAATCTTTATGAGATGTCCATATTGGCAAGTCTGCATTTACCCAGCGGTGATACGCTGTCATTTGTCTCTCAGGAATACAAAAAATTGGAAATCTTTGTATCTTTTGTGCCTGTTTGTGCAGATGGTTGGTTGGAGATTGGCATAAATGTTCAGCTAGCTGTGGGAGCTCAGGTCTGGCTGAAAGGACGGTTCTCTGCATCCAAGCTGTGAGTGCAGATGAGCAGAAAGCTCTGGATCCGGGTGACTGTGAGCATCTTCCCAAACCTAAGTCCATATCCGCCTGCAACACACACATCCCCTGCCCAGCAGACTGGATCACTGGCAGCTGGTCAAAGGTCGGTGCTGAATGTGTTCACTTGTGGTGCCTCAGAAGGAAAAGGAAATGCAAATTGCATTGCATGTAAGCAAAAATAGCTCACATTTTACATAAAGAAAATCTCTCTTCTAGTTTCTCTCTGAATTACATGTACTGTGAGCACATGTGAACATTTTATTCCAAAGTTGTGTGCTGAGAGGTTCTGGCTTCAAATTATCTGCTCTTCACTCTCAGCAGTCTCTCCAGACATCACGTCTCCACATCTCTGGACATGATTTCAAATGAATAAATGACAGTTAAGATGCGTCATCAAAACAACTTGTTACCAGGTGTTTTTACAGCACGTGCAAGTTATAAAAAGCTCAGCCTCGTTATTTACCTCAGTGCCTTTTGTTTTCAGACCTATGCTCATTATGTACCGTCTCTCAGGATAGCTGGGTCCATCTGTGCAGTGACTCATTGCACCCTAATGTTTGGACAGACTGAAATATCAATACTCCTGCTATACAACTGGATTCAGGTGTTCATCTTGCAACTGGCCTGAACTTTCATAGCCTTCAGTGCTTTTTGCTCATTTCTGATCATTTAAAGAAGTAGTCCATCTTGTTCTGTTTGATATGAATGGTCTGCATAGCGTTCTGCAACTTTTTCATCTGGGTCTGATGTAGTGAGTGTTGCTTATCTAATCACAAAATAGTTGCAAAAGACAAAATGTTCACTGCTGTTCGTGGCATCTCAAGGATTTACATTCATCTTCTCACCATATGAAGGCTCCTTTGTCTCAACCCACTATTTCTGGCTCTTGCTAGAAAATGTGGACAGGTTTTTGTGCTTTAGTTTTTTTTTTTTTCAAACATTGCTTTTAAACAAGAGTGCATATTCAAATAATAGATACCGTTACTCTGGAGCCTTTTTTTTCTTACACTGTTACTAAAAGATTAATATGTCTGGTCAACATGCTAAACTAAACGAAAGTCAAACATTAAACACACTTTATTTTTGTCTTTCATCAAAAATACAACAGCATATTAAGGCTACAAAAGGAATTAAAAGAGGAACATTTTTGTTTTGTAGTTAAAAATGTTTCAATAAAAGTTTAACCATTATTTCCAGAACAGAGTCAAAATAAAAAGTAAAGGAGCTTTCCTTTGTGAGATAAACCAGCAATACCACTGGCAAATGGATGGATGGATGGATGGATGGATGTGTAGCGTTTGCAATCTACATACTAGAATTAATGCTGTTTGCTATCAGTTTTGTTAGATTCTGAAGAAGATCAAACGAGTTAGCAAATGAAGCTTCTATCATATATAAATATCTAGGATATTAATATATTCGATAGAAGTTCATACGCCAACGAGCTTGGTCTATATTTAATCCAAAGATTAATTTTTAATTTAAGATATTTAAATTAATAGCAAAATGTATTTATTGAATCAGAAGCTGAAAGGAATCTTTGCTTATTCAATAACCAAATATATACCATTCTGTGTTTCAATTCAAAGAAGAGTCAGGTTTAAAAGTTAAGAATTTATTTCTAACAATGTTAAAGATGACAATTTGAAAATGACTATTTGTAACAGCTTGAAATTAACCTTGGTATTAAAAGCTTTACCTGTGTCTGAATGAAAAGCTAAAATGAAATGCGAGGTTTGGATGCGTGAATGATATCTCAGAAGATTTCTTTCAGAGAGAGAAACGTGTTCTGGGTGGAAACGTTGTTTTGCAGCTAACTGAATTGTTTCTTAGAGAGAACAGCATCGGACACAGTCTGTGTTCTACCTCACCCAGTTAGATGACCCTCTGTGTGGATCCGGAGGTCAAAGGGAGGATGTTGTCAGCCTCAGGGTACTCGGTCAGGTAGAGAAGACCCGAGTGAAACCGACTCTCTGGTCCAAAAGTTGTCGCAGGGTACACAGTGTTGAGCTTGCGTCTGGCTCAACTCTGAAGGAGTTTTGCGTCAGCTGGTTACAGGTGTTTATTCGGAGCAATTCTATTGGCATGACAGAACAGCTTAGTAGAGGCTTAGGCGGCCGACCCTCGTCCTCTGGGATAACTCTCGTCACCACGGAGAGTATCTGCTTGGTTCAAGAACTGAACTTGAGCGGCGGAGATTTGGTTTTAACAAAACCTCAGAACACGCCCTCTCAGCGTCAGAAAGCTTTTGTTATGGAGTAAAGACATGTGAGGTGGTTAACTTTTACCCTGGGTTCAGTCCTGCATGAGGTGTACACGTGCCAATGACCTTCTGGTTACTGATCACACATCACTGATTATCATAAATAATAATTATTATTAACCCAAAGAATAATAAATCATTTCAGTAATTAAATACATTTATACTGAACCATGATGATTATTTATGATTATTTTATGATTGTAATAAACAGTAAAAACAGTTTATTAAAATTATTATCTTAAAATTATTATTTCAAAATCTTGAAGTGTCCTTCATCTTGGGATGGAACCGCAGCAGCAGACAGATAAAAGATGTTGTTTAGCAGACTGTCGTCTCCTGTGATGGATAATCTGTGGAACAAAAGTTACAGCTCGACCCAGCTCCAACCAGCTGGGAAAGTGTGACCTTTGGGTCACAAGTATGAGGTCATTCATGTCGCTACAGATGGAAGTTACATTATACAGCATGAGACTTGCATATTAATTTTAAGGTCAAGGTCAGTTTTATTATAGCATATTTAAAACCGCTTTTGCTTTACTGCATGAGACGCAGAGTATAAAACAATAATAAAAATGAAATAAAAAGCAACCAGATTCAAATAAGAACAAAGTTAATAAAGGTAGAAAATACCTCATCTGTTCCTAATTAAAATATTGCTCATAAGTTTCAAGGTTCAAGGTTTGTTCATTTATCTCTAAGGGGGAAACTGAGTTGCAATTGAGTTTAGGCTAATTATTGCTGGCAAAAAAAACAACATTTACTTTTTTACCTCAAATTGCGCAATGTTTCACTTTTTTATCCCGAACAAACATGCCTCTGTACGTAACTATTACTAAACACCATGTTTCTGTGTATTTCTTCCTGTAGTGTTCACAGACTTGTGGAACTGGATTCCGTCACCGTAACGTTACCTGCTCCAGAAACACAGGGGCTGATTGTGACCCTCAAAACAAACCTTTGTCTGCCTCCACCTGCAGCATTAAGGATTGCACACAGATTGTGGATAACTTTGGGAGTATTGAGTGGTCAGGAAGTGGCTGGTCCAGTAATGAAGTGTTTAATGAAATTAACCCCATTCCTGAAGATAAACCTCCTCCTAAATTCAGCATCTCCAGAAGCCAGCCCCGAACTCATACTGACATCATCGAGGGAGATTTCCACTACCACAATAACATCGAAAACAATGAAAATACTCAAAAAATCAGTGTTCATGTGGATGATTTTTACTATGATTATAACTTCATCAACTTTCATGAAGACTTGTCCAATGACTTTGAAAGCTATGGAGAAGTATCAGAAGGGAGACATGGATCCAGTGATCCACAGGAAACCAAACCAACCCAGAGGGAGAAGGAAAGAACTCTTACTGATCCTACAGTCTCAACGGTCTACACTCTGAAAACCACTGACCATCAAAGCACAAACAAAGACGATGAAAAAAGTAGTGCCCAAGACGATTCTGAAAATCTTGATGATTTCCTTTATGACGATCACCTTCTGCCTGTGTCTGTCACTCACCCATCACCACCTTCTCCAACTCTGAGTTCACGAAAAGTAGAAGTGGGTAAAGGTCTCCTGTGGGCTGAAAGCACAAGCATAACACCTGGACCGGCTTACAGGATGAAGCAGCTTGAACAGGAGGAAGTGTGGGGGCAATCTAGGGAAGAGGCGGAAAATAATGATGATAGTCCAAGAGAGGAGGAAAATCAATCTAATAATTTCACTGTGACCCCAACACATGGTGCTCCAACTTCCAGACATAAAAACACCAATGTTGCTGCATATCAAGAACACACGGAGAGTCCTAAGCTTTTAGACTCTTCCATTCTTGCAAATAAAACTCAGGTTATAACTGAACTTTATGAAAATTCTTCAGAAATACCTCTAACAACAAGTCAGACTGCAGATTTAAAAACTGCTTTGGACATAAATCAGGATCAGGTTGCCTCTAGTGGCGGTAGCATGTGGGATAGCAGCTCTGACCTCAGTACAGCGTCCCCCCCCTTTCCCATTCCCCATCTAATCTCAGGTAACATAGCCACATCTCCCACATCTGCTGACTCCACAGCTCTAACTGGAACAGAAGCCAGACCAGCTCCAAACCTTCAGGGAGTCACAGAGGTTCCTCTGACAGATTTACAGACCGCTACAATGGAACATACACATCCTTCACTTGGTGATACAACTGGAACAGATTTCACATTCCAGCCATCCTCATTTCATTTAGCTGATTTAGACTTTGATGAAACGTTAATTCCTTCAGTTGTGAGGAGCAGCATTAGCAGCCATTCCAGCACTTCAACAGTCACGTCAGCCAACTCTAAACTCAGATCAGCACAGCACATGAAGTCACCGACACCTGCTGCTTCGATTCTCCCAACCCCTGCACCGAGTGAGCGGCTGAACACGGTCCAAACTTCAGCCTCCACACAACTCAGTGGAGCTGCTTTCTGGATTGCTGGGAACTGGAGTGCTGTAAGTAATACGTGTTTTAAATGCACATTTTAAAACTTGTACCGAGTTCCCAAAGAACAAATTTAATCAGACATATTTTAAAAATTAATCAAATGTATAAATAAAGATTTGCTGAAGATGATTTGATCTGTATCACTCGCTTGACTCACTATATAAACTTTTTGAAAATGATAATTCTGTAAAACACAAGCTCTGGAGCTGTCTGGTCTGCTGATGTATGTTTCTTTGAAAACCAGCAGGTAACATGTTGGAGAAATGTAACTCACTTTAAAGGTACAATAAGTAAGAATTCCATCCACCCTTACAGTATCGTCTGGTTATCTGGAGTCGGGTCACGGAGCACCAGGCTAAGCAGGGAGGTCCAGATTTTCCTTTCCACAGCCACTTGGGCCAGCTCCTCCTCCCAAGATGTTCCCTGGCCAGCCGAGAAAAATAGTCCCTCCAGTGTGTCCTAGATCTTCCCTTGGGTCTCCTCCTGGTTGGAAAACCTCTCCAGGGAGGTGTCCAGGAGGCATACTGACCAGATGCCTGAGCCACCTCAACTGGCTCCGCACGACTTGGAGGAACAGCGGGTCTACTCCGAGCCCCTTCCGGATGACCCAGCTTCTCACCCTATCTCCAAGTCACTCTGCAGTGAAAACTCATTCTGGCCGCTTGTATCCGTGATCTCGTTCTTTTGGTCACTACCCACAGCCCATGACCATAGGTGAGGGTAGGAACGTAGATCAACCGGTAAATCGAGAGCTTCGCCTTCTGACTCAGCTCTCTCTTCACCACGACAGACCGGTACCGGCACCAATTCATCTGTTGATCTTGTGCTCCATCTATTTCTCACTTGTGAACAAGACCCTGAAATACTTAGACTTCTCCTCTTGGGGCAGGACCTCATCTCTGACCTTGAGAAGGCATTCTACCCTTTTCCAACTCGAGACCATGATCTCGGATTTATAGGAGCTGATTCTCATCCCAGCTGCTTCCCCCTCTGCTGCGAAAAACTAGCAAAACCTGGAGCTCATGGTCTGAGGGAGTCAATAGGACATCTGCAAAAAGCATAGACCTGAACAGATCCCCCTCAACACCTTGGCTGTGCCTAGAAATTATGTCCATTAAAGTTATGAACTTTGTGGGGGGCATTCCTGTCAACACGCCTCTTCAGGTCTAACTGTTGAGGGAGTCACCGGAAGGAGTGATCCCCAACACCCCTTCCAGGTACTCCACTCTAAAAATATCTCAAGCTAATATTTTTTTAGTTACCAAGAACTTAATAGTACAGAGAAATGACTGAATATTGTGAAATAATAACAAATAAGACTCCTAAGTTTTCTACCCCCCGCAAGACAGGACATGGGGAAAAAAAGAACTTCCTGAAACAGGAATGCGAGTGCTTTTTTATTTTTCCCACAGAGATCAACTCACAAGGCATTCATTTATACTAGAAACCACTCCAAATGTTTTGGAAAAAATGATTGAACTTGGTCTTTAAGCTCTGACTTTCTGTAATGTTTGTGGACAGTGCTCCACCAGTTGTGGTCTTGGTGCTATCTGGCGGACCTTGACGTGCAGTACTGGTTCAGAGTCTGACTGCAATCCAGCTAAAAGGCCCGCGCCAGCTCGACAGTGCTACCTGCGCCCCTGCTCCATGTGGAAGGTCGGGGAGTGGAGTAAGGTGAGACTGCTGAATAGATTACAGTTAGGCCAAATAATATTTAAAAAGTAATTATTTGGGTTTTGTAAAAAGATTTTGATATATTCAGGTCAAGCCAAGTCTGCTACTAGCATTGCTGTTTGGATCAACACTCTGCAGGAATTCTCGCAGCTTAGATGAACGAATGCATGCAGGGAACAGCCGATCCTTCTGTTAATCGTAGGTCATGCCACATTCTTTTCCCCAGTGCTCCAAGAACTGCGAAGGTGGAATTAGATTTCGAGAGGTCCAGTGTTTTGACCTGAGGGATCAACGAGCTCTTCGACCTTTCCACTGTCAGGCGGTGTCCACCAGGCCACCATCAGAGAAACCCTGTAATGCTCAGCTATGTCTGGACTGGTACACCTCCTCCTGGGGTCAGGTGAGTGAAATGTTAAAGCTCTATTAGAGATTTGGTCTATCCAGGCTCTAGTATTCCAACAGGACTACATGAACAGTAATGTGGGGTAAATAGACTGCGTAGTTGCATGGTATACATTTTAAAGTCATTATTTTTTGTCTATATTGAATGAAAAAATTATAATAAAATCTGATTTCAATAGAAATTCTGACATGTACATTTTAACACTGTTTAAACTTCATTAAAATGTAGTTTCATCTCTATTTATGTTTACATTACACATCATTTCATCAGAAACCGAAATCCTCCATCTTTGAAGTGTCAGTCATAATCACATCCTTATCAACCAGCGGGCTGCTTGCTTCGCTCGCTGAAGAGACTGCTAAAGTCCATTACAATTTCTGTCTGGGAAATTGGCTGTGCTCCAATCTGGAGCATGGCCACATATTTTTGCATTATGGTAATGCAAACCGTGTGGGTTGGACAGCAGGAACAGGAACGGTATTTTGAAGTTGCTATATTTGTCATGAGGTGATTTGTTTGGGGAAAGAAAAGTGCAAAAACAGTCGGGAGAGAATGAAAGAGCTGGAGTAGCAACAGTGAACCTGGAAAAACATTCTTTTTCTCACGTATTTGTAGCAATAAACTATCTTTACTATTAATAGTAAACTTCTAACGTTTGCACAGTTGGGAGGGTTACTTGTAATTAGGAATGGGCACCGTATTCGGTACTTTTTGCAGAACGGACCGAATTCCATGATACCGACCGAGGGCCGATTCACTTGACATGAAACGGTGCCTTGTTTCGGTGCCTTTCCTGATTCAGATGGCAGAAGACGCTACATGCACGAGTGCGTAATGACGCCAGACGCTGTGTGAGCGAGCCCTCCAGACAGAGCGAGGTGAGCTAGCGAGCGAACAGCATGGCGGATAAAAAGCGCTCCCAAGTCTGGCTTCACTTTAATAAATGCGACAATGGAGATTACGCCCGCTGCAACTTGTGTGGCATGAAGTACAAAGCAACCGGTGGAATTTGAGGAAGCACCTTATGAAACACAAAATCTTCCTCAAGGCCGAAGAATGCACAATCTTTGATAGCTTAGCTAGGCCTACACGCACCGACGTCACATCTGCACCCTCCCCAGCGAGCTACACTGGTGAAACGACTTCAGTAGGGGGTGGTGACAACAGCAACAACGATTCAAGTGGGGCATCATCGTCTTCATCAGCTGCAGCAGGTAAATAAACTGTGTAATCATGACATTAGCTTGTCATTTTTGCTTCCATTAACATTGCAGTCAGATAATTTCCCTGTGTTTTTGTAACGTTAATGCTTTTTATGTGCAGGACCAGCAGTAAGAGTTAAAGCTGCAATGGTGACTCCCTTCACAAAAGCTAAGGAGACAGCCTTTACCCGCCAGAGAACAGATGAGTGTCACAGAGCTGTAACTGCTTTTGTTGTGAAAGGAATGTTGCCTTTTACAACTGCGGGCTCGTCCTGGTTTAGGAATATTATTGCTGATATTACCTGACATAGTGTGAGTGTAATGGACTGAGGTGGTGGAAAAAAACAGATTGTCTATTATTGTGTGTTGTTGTTGTTGTGTATAATCGGGAGATGACAAGGGCCCTCAATCCAAAGTTACAGAGAGTTAATGTGAAGCAGGAGCTGAAAGCAGTGGACCATTTTGCAGTCACCGCTGATGCTTGGAGCAGTGTGGCTCAAGATCACTACATCACAGTCACTGTTCATTATATAGTGGATGCAGAGCTGAGAGAAAAGGTCCTACATACAAGAGCAGTATGTGTCTCTCAAACAGGATCTGCTGTTGCAGAGGAAATTGACAGTATCCTAGATGACTTTGAGGTGAAGTCTAAGGTGGTAGCAGTTACAGTTGATAACGCCGCCAACATGGATGTAGCCGTCCAAAAAATGAAGGTCATGAAGATGGGTTGCTTTGCTCATACCCTCAACATAGCAGCCCAAAAGCTGTACAGTTTGACAAGCATTGCCAACTGGTCAGGGACGATAAGAGCTGTTGTGTTATGGCTAAGAAGAAATAGTCTTGCCAAGCCTGTACTGAAAGAGAAGCAGAAACTTCTAGGTAGGTCAGAGGTTATTAAACATACACATGATGTTTGTATATTTGAGAGCTGTTACTGATTTTAAACATTTCCGCCACTTTCTACATCAATATTAAGAATTTTAAATTTAGACAATTGTTCTCTGTTTTATTGAAGGCCTAGACGAGCATTCCCTCATCCTTGATGTGAGAACCAGACGGAACCGCCTCTTTCTGATGGTGGAGAGGTTCATCGAACAGTACCCCATCATCCAGGCTGCTTCAAGGGACCCAAGAATCAAGAAGGATATGGACAGAGACAGGTAACAAAAACTTGAGTTTCAAAAACTTCTGATGGAGTGAATTATCTTTTGCTGACAAAAAACATTCTGAATAATTTTGCCCTATTATTTCCAGATTGCTGAGAGTGTACGATGATGACATGAGCAAGTGTGAGGACTTTGTGGACACCATGAGGGTCCTTTACACATCCACACTTGCAGTTTCGGCTGAGAGGAGTGCCACTGTGGGGCAGATCCTCCCCATCCTCGACAAACTCAGGGCCAAGTTTGAGGTGAAAGATGAAGATTCTGCTTTCAAGAAAGCCATCAAGGAGAAGGTCTGGGCAGACCTCTCCCATCGTTACACAGTATGTACTTCATTTCATTCTTTCAATTAATAATTAAAGCAATGGTGTAATGAAATACTTAAAATGTAGTCCGACTGTTCTTAATCAATGTTGTTAGGAGGAAACAAACAAAGAGCTACTACTGTTCCTTGAGGAGGCTACTGCTCTAGATCCTCATTTTAAAGGCAAGATTCAGGACGAGGCTGTTTGGACCCGCCTAGAAAATGAAGCTGTAGCCCTCTTCGCTGGAGACAAGGTTTGTTCATCATAGTTGTAATGTGGACAACATCTGGGCAAATGCACTCTGTTTCAGTATGATCATATAATTACCATATTTTAATTATTTGTTCTGTGTATGCTTTATTTAAAGATTGGAGAGGTGACCCAGCAGGAGGGGAAAGGAAGAAAGGAGCAACAGGAAGGGGAGGAAGTATCTGAGGGAGAAGAAATGCCAGAAGCTCCTGAGAAAAGAAAGAAAAAGCTGTCAGCCCTTGGGGAGCTATTTCAGGATCAGGACCAGGAAGTGTTACTCCAGAGTGAGATAGACACCCAAGCACCTTCACTAGCCGAAAAGGCCAAGAACGAGCTGCTTATCTATCAGAGATTTCCAGCAGTCCTCAGCTCTGTGCACCCCTTCTTGTGGTGGTGGCAAAAGAGAGACCAGATGCCTTTGTTGGCCAGCTTGGCCAAAAAATATCTTTGTGTTCAAGCCTCTTCCACTCCTTCAGAGCGAGTTTTGTCCACAGCAGGGGATACAGTCAGTGTTGAGCGGGCTCGACTCTTGCCTGAGAAAGTGGACATGTTAGTTTTCCTTAAAAATAATGGCTAAAGGACTGAATATATACACAGTTGAGTAGGCCATGTTCAAGTAGTTCAAAGCAAAGATGTTTACTTCAGTTTTTTCCATTTTATATACCCCTCTATTACACACATTGTCCAGAGAGAGGAATATTCTAGTTTGTTAAACATATGTTAAAATGTAAAGAGTTCTATGCTATATTGTTATATTTAATTTTGTAACATATTGTTAAGCCTCTTCCATTCCTTCAGAGCGAGTTTTCTCCACAGCAGGGGATACAGTCAGTGTTGAGCAGGCTCGACTCTTGCCTGAGAAAGTGGACATGTTAAAATGTAAATAGTTCTATATTGTTGCATTTAATTTTGTAACATATTGTTATATATTGAAAATAAATATTTGAGTGAAAAATAGTTTTTAATTATTAAACACAAAAAAGTATCGAAAATTAGTATCGTTAGGTACCGGTATCGATTCATAAGTACCGGCAATTGGTACCGGATCGATTCAAATGTGAAAGGTACCCATACCCACTTGTAATGGACAGTCACACCCCTCTCCATTTAAAATGTCCTAATTCTGTCATTTCTGCATTTACTTCATGAAAGTATGGTAAATATTTATTTTTACTTTATTAAAATTCTAGAGTTTGACAGAATTATTTCCATTAGGAATTTGATTAACCACTTCCACCAACGACATTCCATGCAAACACACACACTTAGGGCCTTGGGAGTAAGCACATACAGTGGGGCAAAAAAGTATTTAGTCAGCCACTGATTGTGCAAGTTCTCCCACTTAAAATGATGACAGAGTTCAGTAATTTACATCATAAGTACACTTCAACTGTGAGAGACAGAATGTGAAAAAAAATCCATGAATTCACATGGCAGGATTTTTAAAGAATTTATTTGTAAATCAGGGTGGAAAATAAGTATTTGGTCACGTCAAACAAGGAAAATCTCTGGCTCTCACAGACCTGTAACGTCTTCGTTAAGAAGCTTTTCTGTCCTCCACTCGTTACCTGTATTAATGGCACCTGTTTGAACTCATCTGTATAAAAGACACCTGTCCACAGCCTCAAACAGTCAGACTCCAAACTCCACTATGGCCAAGACCAAAGAGCTTTCGAAGGACACCAGGAAAAGAATTGTAGACCTGCACCAGACTGGGAACAGTGAATCTACAATAGGCAAGCAGCGTGGTGTGAAAAAATCAACTGTGGGAGCAATTATCAGAAAATGGAAGACATACAAGACCACTGATAATCTCCCTCGATCTGGGGCACCACGCAAGATCTCATCCCGTGGGGTCAAAATGATCATGAGAACGGTGAGCAAGAATCCCAGAACCACACGGGGGGACCTGGTGAGTGACCTGCAGAGAGCTGGGACCACAGTAACAAAGGTCACCATCAGTAACACACTACAACGGCAGGGAATCAAATCCTGCAGTGCCAGACGTGTTCCGCTGCTGAAGCCAGTGCATGTCCAGGCCTGTCTGAAGTTTGCCAGAGAGCACATGGATGATACAGCAGAGGATTGGGAGAATGTCATGTGGTCAGATGAAACCAAAGTAGAACTTTTTGGTATAGACTCAACTCGTCGTGTTTGGAGGAAGAAGAATACTGAGTTGCATCCCAAGAACACCATACCTACTGTGAAGCATGGGGGTGGGAACATCATGCTTTGGGACCGTTTTTCTGATAAGGGGATAGGACGACTGATCCATGTTAAGGACAGAATGAATGGGGCCATGTATCGTGAGATTCTGAGCCAAAACCTCCTTCCATCAGTGAGAGCTTTGAAGATGAAACGTGGCTTGGTCTTCCAACACGACAATGATCCCAAACACACCGCCCGGGCAACAAAGGAGCGGCTCCGTAAGAAGCATTTGAAAGTCCTGGAGTGGCCTAGCCAGTCTCCAGACCTCAACCCCATAAAGAATCTGTGGAGGGAGTTGAAAGTCCGTGTTGCTCGGCGACAGCCCCAAAACATCACTGCTCTCGAGAAGATCTGCATGGAGGAATGAGCCAAAATACCAGCTACTGTGTGTGCAAACCTGGTAAAGACCTATAGTAATCGTTTGACCTCTGTTATTGCCAACAAAGGTTATGTTACAAAGTATTGAGTTGAATTTTTGTTATTGACCAAATACTTATTTTCCACCCTGATTTAGAAATAAATTCTTTAAAAATCCTGCCATGTGACTTCATGGATTTTTTTTCCACATTCTGTCTCTCACAGTTGAAGTGTACCTATGATGTAAATTACTGACCTCTGTCATCATTTTAAGTGGGAGAACTTGCACAATCAGTGGCTGACTAAATACTTTTTTGCCCCACTGTACAACGGCATTTGGCAAGGGGATCTTTCAGCCTCATCCCAGGTGCCGGTGCCCACTTCCAATTTTAAACTGCACTTAGACACAGAGGGCTGTGGGGGGAAGAGGGGTGGTGTGGTGGCATCAGCTGGTGTAGGCCAGATGATGGCTGCACTGCCCGCTCACCACAGCCATGAATACACCTCATCAACACGCACCAACACTGTATTGGAGCAGGCGGAGGGTGACTAGGGGTCTTAGCACACCTCTGCTGTCGCTTGGTTTCCCGGGGCTGGAGGCTAGGAGGGGGATCTGGCCGTCTGGCTGGGGGCTGGGTGGTGGGTCGCTTTGCTCGACGTTGGGTGGGGGCGCCTGCTCATCAGCACCCCAGCAGAAAGGGTCGAACTCTGGGAACCGGTGATGGTTGTACCCTTTGTGCAGCAGTACCGGGACCAGAGTGAATAGGGTGTGTATGGGGAGTATGAGTGGGTGTCTGTAATGCCTTTTTGTGAGTCTTAGGTTGTATGTGTATATGTGAGCATCAGGGAGGGAGTGTGAGACTGTGTTTGTGTATGACTGTACCGTATTTTCACGACCATAGGGCACACCGTGTTATAGGGCGCAGCTTCAGTTACGGGTGTCTTTTTGGTATTTAACACATACAAAAGGCGCACCGGGTTATAGGGTGCGGGCACGGTAAAACGTATCGGTAAAACATCTGTGCGGGCTCGGGACTCGGAACATATAAGTGCAAACCAGACATTGTGAAAATTATAAACAGCCAAAAGCATGCTTCACTTTACTGGTCTAGTCCTGGTTCAGACCTGGTTTAGAGCGCACGTGCACTTCCTCATTGCGTGGGCTGACGGCTCGTGCTCTTTTTAAGGGCTCGACACACGGAAGGCAACTTCGCCTCTCCTCCAGTCATTTTCAATGAGACATGCGCGACAAAGCGATAATCGCGGGTCTCCCTCCTACTAAAGCCGGGCGTACACCGGGAGTGCTGCAGGAGGACACACAGGGATTTATGGGGGTTGGATGAGGAAAACGAAATAAAGAAAGTAAATCTGTGTTTTGTGATCAGTTTAATTTGACATGAACACGACAAGCACGCTTTCTTGACAATCTTTGTGAGTAAAAAAACGTGTAGAAATAAAAACGAACAGCGTGTGTTATTAGGGAAATAGCAGGCGAGCAGTGTTGATGCATGAATGCGCATACGCCGTGAGCGGTTCTGGTACTTTTTGGGTCGCAGCTGCTCGCAGCACCGCTTCAAGCGCTGATGTGCTGTGTTGAAGTTCAGAATGTGTTTACTGGTAGTTGGTGGATTTAACCACATAAACTTTCCACATGAACAAAATCATATGTGTGTTATTAATAAGCCTAAGAAAATAGTGTGATTTGAATTGTGTTTTATTAACCCTCTGGGGTCCATGGACACGTATCCGCTTTTGAACAGGTCTGATTTGGGACGCTGTAGCAGCAAGACTCCGCCTCCCTGAGTTTCGGTTTCAATTCAGCTTTAAAATGGAGATTATAAACTACACCCCAGTTTTTAAATGTTGTTAATAGTGTAGCAACCAACTATATTCCACTACAATAGGCAACGTAAAAGCAGAGTTATACTAAACTAAAAAACAACCTATTTTTAGACAATCTGATAACTTGTCAAAATAGCAGTTTAGTAATCTGTGAGAGGTAATGTGCTTGTGAACATAAAAACCCACAAAAACATGAGATCCTTTTGCTGTTGGTGGAAGTCTCACATATTCAATTGATAAAATAAAAAGTATCATTATGTAGCTGAGAGAGAGAGGAAGGCTGCACGAGTAACGAGATGTGCGCAAAAAGGAGCCGCTTTGCGGGGAAAGGAGTGGCGCGAACGGAGTAACTACAAACAATTAGACAGATATTGACAGTAAACTCTATATTTTGGAGCAATCCGGACAGATATATTGTCACTGCAGTTTAGTAGGCTTTTATTAGGCTTATATAAAGGATGATGAGAAGGATGAATGTCCACCAGGCAGTTCAGATAGTACGGCTGTTTTTTGAACATGAAGCAGAGGAAATGGACGGAGACTCACAGCCGGAGTCTGAGGCAAATAGAGAGGATGTTGATGACGATGTGGCAGATCCACAGGTCTGTCTTCGCTCACGTCCGCATGTTCACGCCACGCCCCTTGTCTTCTACTACGTTTGTGACTCACAACAACACAATCAGCGCACCGCACCATAGGGCGCGGCGTACATTTTGGAGAAAATTTAAGACTTTTAGGTGTGCCTTATGGTCGTGAAAATACGGTATATGTCAGGTGGGGCCTTTGACTCTGCCCCTCTCCTGGGACTTCTTTTGCTGCTATACATCTTCGCCTTCCCTCCCCCTGCCACACTAGATGTGGAGTGTGGTGCCTTGGTCTGCCTGAGTGTTCGTGGCTCCCGTGTCTGGGGGTTTAAGATTTTTAGCATCTGCCTGTTTAATCCCGGTGGCTGCCTGGTGGGATATGAGTCCCAGGGCTCTGATGGGTCCCCGGCGGGGCTGGTCGCCCCTGGGTCCCAGGTCGCCCCTGGGTCCCAGGTCGCTGGGTTCCGGATTCGGCCGGCTTGGGGGTGGGAGGCTGCGGGCGGGCCTGTGGGCTTGCCGCTGACATCCCCCGGGACTCTGCCGGCTGGTGGTTGTGGCCCCCCGGGGCAGTCCTCTGCGCCTCTCGAGGGGGGGCAGGGGCTTTTCTGGTCGCAGTCTCCCTGGGGTCCCTGCGCTCTGAGGCAGCTCCTGAATCTCTGAGACTTGGAGCTCCTTCCATCTCCAGCACATCTTTGGGGGGCAGATCTGTGGCCCCTCACACCCTCTATTGGATGCTCCTATAGAGAAACCTTACATATACAAGTGCGGGTACACACACAGGTGCTCACATGCTGCTCTCATAAGTATGGGCCTGGGCACGTTCAACACATGTCTTAAGGCTGTGGTTGGCACTTAATGCACTGTGATTTATTATCATGATTTTTCTGTAAAAAAATGTTGATTTTATATTTCCTCATCAGGTTGACACAGTGATAGCTTGCTCCTGTTGTATTGCTGTGTCCCTTTTCTTTTCTTTTCTTTTCTTTTTTTCTCTCCTGCTGGTCTAGAAGCAGACTCTTGTTCATCATTGATTGTTTGTTTTTGTGGAACTCCCCCCCCCCCCCCCCCCCCTTCCTTTTGTCTCTTCCTTTCTCTTTCACCTCTGTCTCCATGTCTGGTCAGAATTACAAGCATTCAAAAAACAACAACAATAAAGTTTCAAGTATCAGGTGTGACATTAAAAGCAGAAGCTTTGATGCTCCACCTGAGAGTAAATCTGTAAGGCTTGTCGCCAGCATTCAGACATTAATTCTGTTTGCTTCACAACCAGACAAGACACGGTAAAAAACAATAAAAAAATAAATAATAAATATGCTGTAGAGCTTCATTTTATTTGTTTTCAAAACGTTCTTGAGGTGTCATCTTAACATGTCATTTTGCATCAATTTTTTTATAGTTTTTCCACTTGATCGCAGTATGAGTATCAGCATACACATACGTCATAGAGTGAATGTGTCGGGTTAAATGGAACGAGGTGGGTTGATGGTGTTTGATCTTAATCTGACAATTTCTCAAATGGATGAGTACTGGTACACATAATTAAAAGCATCTCTACTTTGTTTTTTCGGTGTAGCAAAAATGTACGGAACATTTATAGGTTGGCAATAAAAACTTTAACTATATCTTGTAACCACTTGGGAGCCGGTGGCATGAGGCCAACACGGGTGTTTAATACTTCCTGTTAAAAACAAACAGCAGCATTTTATAGGACTTGCTAATGATGGGGCTATTGGTGTGGTGGATTCTACAGTCTGAAACTTTATAAGTAAATGTCAAGAAAAAATAATGTTTGGTTCTTTAGTTTTCAGAGAAATATACAAAGCGTAGACCTTGCTAAGAAGCTTTGTCTGAATCTAACAAATTGACTGAACAGGTTTGTCACATTGTGATTTTTTATTTCGACAAAACACACATTTTTTGAAAGTAAAACCCAGACAACTTTCAGAAGTTCATTCTGTGCAAACTTGATAGTCAATGCTGCATAATTTCACTGCTTCAAATAGTCACAAAGCAGCTGCAGTTGTCATGTTCCTGTTTGTGTTCTGCCACAATAAAAAACAGCCAGCTTTTCATACAAGATACAGATAATAAGGTGTTTACCTTTGTTCATTATTCATTTTATTTGTGTTAATTGTTTTTTAATATTTGGATCAGTGCAAACAATTTTTGTTCCCTAATCCTCTGTTGGGTAAAAATGTAATAGCTGCAGACGTTCACTGATTTCTCCTGTTTGCCGCTGTGTGGTGCCCAGTGCTCTGAGGTGTGTGGAGGAGGTGAGCAGCAGCGCATCGTCACCTGTCCTGAGGACGATCGATGCCACAGAGACCTTCAACCCAGAAACATTCAGTCATGTAACAGCCAGCCGTGTGCTCAGTGGCTGACCGGATTATGGGAGGAGGTACAACACACACACATTATCAACCAACCAAGACTGTATTTGTAAACCAATCTCATGAAGAAATCACTGTCACAGAGGTCCACTCCATGTGGTTTTATTCCTTTAGTGGAAATTAATGAGGTGATTCACTGAAAAAAATATTTTTAATGATTAATTCTGATTATAATCAGCCACTCAGTTTTTCATGCAGGCTGAACATGAAAATAGTCTCCTACACTTATCTCCTGCATTAGCTTCTGAAAGAAAACAGACAGAGAAACCTAGGATTTGAAAAGCCTTACAGATCTACGTCAAGTGGTCGCTTGGACTCACCCATTCTGGCTCGCGACATGGAAGGATGTTGTTGTAGCGTCCAGAATCAGCAGAGAATGTCTCGGCTAGCTGAAGCTAACCATTAGCATTAACAACTCAACAACATGGCAGAAGCTCCTCCAGGCTTGTGTTATTTGTGGAGATGAAACATCTTCATCACAGAGCAATCAGTCAGTGGTAGAGTCACTTTGCTGTTAACCAATCCAGGGCAAAATGCCCAAATAGCAGGTAGTGTCACACCCTGTCCTGTCTCCCCATTCGGTTCAGTCCTGTGTTCATGTTAATTGCTCCCACCTGCCTCTCGTCTCCCATTCACCCAAGGTCCCAGCTCCTCCTGTATTTAAACCCTGTTAGTCCATTTTGCCTGGTTGGTTCATTGTTTCATTGTCCTGCGTGTCTCATTAAAACCCTTTAAATGCTCCTGTCTGCCTGTCTGCCTGCCTCCTTCCTCACCCGCGTGTGGATCCTCACCTCCATTTCACTCACCGGCACGCCTGACAGAATGAACCAACCCAGTAAAGGATCCAGCAGGGAGGTTCTTCCTTAGGAGTGTTTGCTCCAGTTTTTAACCGCAGATCACCGTCCGGCTTCTCCTCCTCTGGCCTCGTCTTGCCGCAGACACCGTCGCCAAACCCCGGCTGCGACGATCCCCTCCGTCCTCCCGTAGCTAGATGTGAGGTTGGACCAGGAGACGCAGCTAGACCGCTCCTGCTATGTGGGCACCTGGCTGTGTGCTCCCCCGGAGCTGGCCCACGGCATCGGGAAGGATGCCGGGCTCCACCGTCACCCCTGGTCCTGGGACGGAGCCGCGAGCTCGCTGCAGCTCCGGCTCAGCGCGCCAGCATGGACCCGCCCCCAGTCAGACCAGCAGTTCCGTCTCCGGTCCAATCAGCGCCTCCATCATCTGCAGGCAGAGGGACCACGCCTACAGCCCAGCTGATAGAGCTTGCCGGCCTCCAGGCGGAGCTTGGCCGGATCCGTCAGCTCGTCAGCCTCCAGGAGTTCCAGCTGGACACCCTATCCTCCCCGAATTACCAGGAGAAGGTTCCGGTTCAGACTGCAGCTCCCTCATCTCTTGGCCAAAGGATCGAACCCGCAGTCCACCCAGCAGAGCTCGCCGGTCTCCGAGCTGAGCTGGCCCAACTCCATCAGAGCCTCAGTCTCCAGGAGCTCCAGCTGGACAAACTATCCTCCCTGCTCTCCCAGTTTCTGGCACCACCAGTTCAGTCAGCTCCTGTCCCAGCGGTGGTCCCGGAGGTCGCACCACATCCAGTTCCAGCGGTGGTCCCGGAGGTGGCACCGCATCCTGTTCCAGCGGTGGTCCCGGTGGGTGCACCACATCCAGTTCCCGTGGTGGTCCCGGAGGTCGCACCGCATCCGGTCCAGCCTGTCCAAGCGGTCCCGTCTGTAGCAACTCTTCCTCCACTCCAGAAGCCGATGGTCCAGAAGTCGACGCCCCCGGACCAGAAGTCGACGGTCCAGAAATCAACGGTCCAGAAGCCGACGGTCCAGAAGCGGATGCCCCTGGACCAGAAGTCGACGGTCCAGAAGCCGACAGTCCAGGAAGCCGACGGTCCGGAAGCCGGCGCTCCCGGACCAGAAGTCGATGCCCCCAGACCAGAAGTTGACGGTCCAGAAGTCGACGGTCCAGAAGTCGACGGACCAGAAATCGACGCCCCCGGACCAGAAATCGACGCCTCCTGGACCAGAAGTCGATGGAGGTCGACGCCCCCCAGTCCTGAAGTCGACGCCCCTTCCAGTCCTGTGGTCAATGCCCTTTCCAGTCCTGAGGTCGACGCTCTCTCCAGTCCAGAGATCAACGCTCTTTCCAGTCCAGAGGTCGACGCTTTCTCCAGTCCAGAGGTCAACGCTCTCTCCAGTCCAGAGGTCGACGCTCTCTCCAGTCCAGAGGTCAGCGCTCTCTCCAGTCCAGAGGTCGACGCTCTCTCTCTCTCTCTCTCCAGTCCAGAGGTCGACGCTCTTTCCAGTCCAGAGGTCGAGGCTCCTTCGTGTCCAGAGGTCGACTCTCCTTCGTGTCCAGAGGTCGACTCTCCTTCGTGTCCAGCGGTTGACGGTCCTTCCTGTCCAGCGGTCGACGCTCCTTCCTGTCCAGAGGTCGAGGCTCTTTCGTGTCCAGAGGTCGACGCTCCTTCGTGTCCAGAGGTCGACGCTCCCTCGTGTCCAGAGGTCGACGCTCCCTCGTGTCCAGAGGTCGACGCTCCCTCGTGTCCAGAGGTCGGCGCTCCCTCGTGTCCAGAGGTCGGTGTTCCATCGTGTCCAGAGGTCGGCGTTCCATCGTGTCCAGAGGTCGACGCTCCCTCGTGTCCAGAGGTCGACGCTCCCTCGTGTCCAGAGGTCGGCGTTCCATCGTGTCCAGAGGTCAACGCTGCCTCGTGTCCAGAGGTCGACGCTGCCTCGTGTCCAGAGGTCGACGCTCCCTCGTTTCCAGAGGTCGACGTTCCCTCTTGTCCAGAGGTTGGCGTTCCCTCCAGTCCAGAGGTCTGCGTTCCCTTCAGTCCAGAGGTTGGCGTTCCCTCCAGTCCAGAGGTCGATGTCCCCTCCAGTCCAGTGGTCGACACCGTCTTCAGTCCCGTGGTCGACGCCTTCTCCAGTCCCATGGTCGACCCCGTCTCCAGTCCAGTGGGAGATGCCATCTCCAGTCCAGTGGGAGACGCCGTCTCCAGTCCAGTGGGAGACGCCATCTCCAGTCCCGTGGTCAACGCCGTCTCCAGTCCAGTGGTCGACACCGCCGTCTCCAGTCCAGTGGTCGCCGCCGCCGCCTCCAGCCCAGTGGTCGACGCCGCCCCCTCCAGCCCAGAGGTCGACGACGACGCCTCCAGCCCTGAGGTCGTCGCCGCCGCCTCCAGTCCAGAAGTCAAAGACGTGTCCTCCAGCGTCTCCGCCTCCGGTCACCGCCAGTCCTGCCATCACCAGGCGCGGGCCCCCAAGAGCCCGTCGTCGCCTCCTCCTCTGCCACAGACGCAGGACCCCAAGAGCCCGTTGTCACCTCCTCCTCTGCCACAGACACAGGCCCCCGGAATCTACTGGTCCCTGCCTCCTCTCCGTCGGTCCCTCGGTCCCCAAGGTGCTGTCACACCTTGTCCTGTCTCCCCATTCGGTTCAGTCCTGTGTTCATGTTAATTGCTCCCACCTGCCTCTCGTCTCCCAATCACCCAAGGTCCCAGCTCCTCCTGTATTTAAACCCTGTTAGTCAATGTCTGTGAAGGTTCTCAGTTATCCAGGTCATTGTAGTCTAAGGAGCTTGAAAGAAAAGCATCTGGACTTCTTTAAGTTGCTTGAAGACGTTTCACCTCTCATCCGAGAGGCTTCTTCAGTTCTAAGGTCAAATGGTGGAGAGTCCCAGATTTAAACCCAGTGGGAGTTTCCCCCCGAAGAGGGAACAAAAGAAGTCCAAGCAACTTAAAGAAGTCCAGATGCTTTTCTTTCAAGCTCCTTAGACCCTGTTAGTCAATTTTGTCTGGTTGGTTCATTGTTTTATTGTCCTGAGTGTCTCATTAAAACCCTTTAAATGTTCCTGTCTGCCTGCCTGCCTCCTTCCTCACCCGTGTGTGGATCCTCACCTCCATTTCACTCACCGGCACGCCTGACAGTACGACTCCAAATCCTGTGGTGTTAAACTCTCCACGCTGATTCAAGCACTTCTGGGCTTTTCGTGCCCCGAGTACAGCAAGGCATTCCTTCCTACGAGAGACCACAGTAAATTGATTGAATAGATGAGTTTCTCACACGTTTAATAACATTCGGAATAACATATAAACATAAATGAACAAATGTTTTACTTGTAGCCCTGCTGGGGAGAATTTGAACACTATATTGAACAGATGGGGTCTATTTGAGGAGTTTATGCCATTTAGCTGAAGATAAAGAATAATAAAATTATTACTGTGGCTTGGTTTTCTTTAATAGAAGCTTCGTTTAGATTCAACAAACAAAAGATTAGATTTTAGTCGGAGTGATTCTCGCCTCTGTCAGCATGCCCTTGGGCAGTTTTGGCTGCACTATGTGTGTGCATGGCTGATTGACGTCTTGTAAAGTGCCTTTGGGGGTTCTAGAAGACACTATATCAAATACAGGTCATTTACCATTTTTTACCATTCTCATTTTATCAAATCCTTTTCAGCTGTACTTGTTTTTGGTGAATCAAGTCAGAACTGGTAATGTGCCCAAAACAGAGGATAATGGATGCAGACATTTCACAGTAAAAAATGAAAACCGTAATCTATTCCACATCTGAATCTGGAATTCCTCATTTCTCAGTTTTCATCTGGAGGAAGAAAAAAATAACCCATCGATGCTGCCGGTTAGGAGATGAAATACTCGAGGCTTCGCAATAAATCAACTGGTGTTAAAGTTTAATACCTTTATATTTATATGAATACAGTCCCTTGCATGCTTTGAGTAAATGATAAGTTATTATATTAATGCATATGATGTCTGATAAGAATAAAAACATTCTGTGTTCCAGTTGCCTTGCTGCTGGATTCAGGGGGCTTGGGTAGGACCAAGGAGATGATTGAAGAAATATAATAAAGTGATATAATCATCTGAAAGGCTGGCCTAATAAGAGATTTTACTTTCTCACCATTCGTCATTGCACATAGAACTTCTTCAGCTCAGTGGTTTATCACAAATGACCGAAGGTCTGTCTGGCAAAAATTATATTTAAACAAATAAGAATATTTAAACCAACTAGAAAAACAACTGAAATGTGACAGTTTAGGACAAAGATGAGCAACATAATATATAAAAGCCATGCATCCACGAAAATCCTACAATGTCTCTGTTTAGTGCTCAGCTTCCTGTGGTGGTGGAGTGCAGCATCGACTCATCAAATGTGTCGACACGAAGGCTGAGACACAGGAAATGGTGGAACCATCTCAGTGTGACCTCCAGCTGAAGCCTAACAACACCCAAAGGTGCAACCTACACAACTGTGAGAGCACTCCCTCTGGTGAGTTGAACAAGATGTAAACACATGCACGCACACACATGAGAGCACACACACAAAAAAAACCAAAGGAAATCTAAAGGTGTTTTTACCAACAAGTGCTTTCAGGAGCAAATATTTCCTTCCAGGACAACACACACACACGAAGCGTAGAAAAATGACGATGGGTGACCAAGCATTTGTTTCCATTGTGTACATGTATGTGCGTGCGTGCGTGCGTGCGTGCGTGTGTGTGTGTGTGTGTGTGTGTGTGTGTGTGTGTGTGTGTGTGTGTGTGTGTGTGTGAGAGAGAGTATGCGTGTGGTGCGTGATTCTTGTGAAACTTCTGCGAAGCATATATGCAACAGTTAGCCACCGTTAAAGAGGGTATTAGTGTTTTCGCCAGCCACGGAGCATAGGGACACGCCAAGTCTATTTTTTTCTTGTTAATTTTTGATGGGTGTCATCTGCCCCCACCCCTATAGACCCACTCTTAGCTTCATTGTTATATTTTCCGGGAATGATGAGATGAATGACGTGGCCAACATGGTAGAGGTGGGAACCACTCATTAGGCTTCGATTCAGCTCTTCATAAACTTATGGGTAATTGTGCATAAGGTTAATCCATACTACAGACCATGGTACATAAAATGTGTGGGTAGGAATGTGACTTAGCATTCCTTTAAATAAAACCACTGACCTTTTTTGCACCAGCAGTAATGGAGTTTAACCAAGGCATCTAATACAATAAATCACTGGGTGGATCAGGATGGGGTGATGAAGAATGTCCTCCATTTTCATTGATCCACACATTCTTGCAGTACGTCACTGAATAGCTTTGATCATTTAAAGTAGGGATGTCCAGATCCAATAACGTGATCAGAAATCGATCAATGTGGGGGTTCGTTTGAGCAGAGAGGATGGAGAGCGCTGATTGTTCATACACTCCACAGGAAGCTGCGTCCTGCGCACGGCCACAGTAAAATTTTTCAAAGCGGCGCCACCAAAAAATATAATTAACACAGAGCGATCATGTCCGCTCATATTCTCTGGTACTTTCTGCCTTTTGTTCGGGCCTGACAGGATTCTGCTGCTGAGGAGCTTTTCACCCGTGCTTCGGTGAATTCACCTCACTGCTGCCCACACATTTTGCAATCTATTTTTTTGCGGGTAGTTCCCTTTGATGTTCTTAGTTCAAAAGTAGCTCATGAGGTGAAAAAGTAGGAGGCCAGGCAGGAATTTTTTGGTGGATGGAGAGGAGATGAAAGGAGACAGACAGGACAGGAAAATAATCAAATAATAAACAAGAAAAAAAGTGATTGAAAAGGAAATTGTAAGTAGATTAATCCCACTACATGTTTTTACCTTTATAAAGCTATAATTTATAAGCATTTAATATTTGATACAAATCAGATCACCTCCTAAGCTTGGGACATCCCTAGTCTAAAATAATAATAATAATAATAATAATTATTATTATTATTATTATACATTTTATTCAAAAAGTGCCTTCATGACACCCAAGGACACTTTACAACAATGGGATTTTTAAAAGTGGAGTGCTGTAGAGTTTTTACTAGTAGTAATATCTGCTATGGCTCAAAGTATCCTGTTTCATCTCTCCAGTTTCTGTTCAGTCTTGTGTTAATTGCTCCCACCTGCCTCTCTTTACCCAAATCACTTAAGTCCCAAGCTCCACGTGTATCTAAACCCTGTCAGTCCGCTGTGTTTTGTTGGTTGATTGTTTCTGTGACAGTGTGTTCCTCAGTTTGAACTTATTAAAAACCTAAAAACCCATCCTCGCCAGTTTGCTTGTGTGACTCACCTGCACTTGGATCCTCACCTCAGCCTTCAACTCAGTGAGTGTGTGACACAAAGTGGCTCAAATTGTTAGTCTGCACTAAGCTATTGAACAAAAACCCTTCCATCTTAAAACCTCTCAAAAAATAAGTAAATATATTTTAAAGCTATTTTAAGTCATTTATTTGCACTCAATATTTTCAGAAGTTTGTTTACAGAGATGTTTGCACTGGTCTGCTGTCTAATTCCAGTAATGATTCATGTGAAAGTAACTAAACGAAACATTAGCATGAGCAAGCAGATATGATGCAAAAACATGGATCAAATTGCAGGGATGAGAATTAAGAATGTGTCAAGTGATTGTTCCAGAATATCTAGAAATATAATGTTGATGAGAGAAGCAATCTGACCTTAAAGACATAAGGTGATGGGATAATGGCATTTTTGCTGACATGGACCACGTCAGGGATATTAACAGTAATGCTGAAACTCACCTCAACTTGATATTGAAAATGTCAAACGGGAGAAATTACTGTCAGCATCAATCAAGGTTGTGACACTTAACAGATGAGCCACGCAGAAAGTAAAAATAAATAACCCGAGGGACTCGAAGCAAGTCAGCTCAGTTTCATACTGATCACTCACATTAAACATGATGAACATATTCATTTATAATTGACAGCCCCAGTTCCTGCAGCACAATCAAGTGGAATCAAACCTTTTGGATTATTGAATACAGAAAAAAGGAACGACCCATTTTTCCACAGCATCCACCCTTCAAATAGCATTATTGATGGGATTTAGCAGCTCTCATTTATAAATGCCACATCCCAAGACCCAGCAGTGGAAAACTTGACCACTGGATCCTCAGTGAGCTTCTATGTTCAACGACAGATGATGAGTTGAGCTTCTACTTTTGAATCGAGACAAGAGGAAGACGGCTACATACAAAGATACGAGTTAGAGCTCGTCCATTATGAGCTGCACATCTTTTTTGCTTACAACACATTCACATTTAAATGAGCCTCCTCTAGATTCAGGTGGCTTTGATGATGTGATGTTGCACCTCAAAAGTCGTTACTTGCTGATGTATTGCTTTCTCAGGCTTTGATCCATATCGCTCTATGATAGAGCCCATTGCTGTTTTGCAAGAATGGGTGATCGGCAGAAATCAGATGGGATCACTGCTTTTAAGGGTGTAAATGTACCTCACTTTGAAATACATTTAAATAAGGCAAAAACATTGCAACCTTAAATCATCGCAAAAACACAATTAGTTAAACCCTGCACACGCAATGTTCTTTATGTGACAGTCGGTGTGGCGATGTTGTACAAAGTGGTGTCTTCAAGAAAATGAAACCTTATTAACATGGAATTTTACATAGGAAGCATAAGCAGCTTGTTAGAAGTTCTCATCCATCCTCAGACTCGTCCGCGCTAAATGGACATCTTCAAAAGTTCTCTTTAAAGAACAAGTCACCCCCAAATCAACTTTTTTTCTGATAAACTATATAAATGTGTTTCTAATCATGCTGCAGACACGTGTAGTCAACAGTTTAGCACTTTAGTGCATTTTAGTAAAAATTTTAATTTTCTGCCTAAAACTGTCAGTTGAATTTAAATCTGCCATCTCTATTGGCTAAGAGGTACCCTAGAACGTTAGCTGGTACCATATGATGTCACAATGTTGTGAGCCTGTGTGGACTAGGGGGCGAGCATCTAACCTATAAGAACCCACCCGATTGGCCAAATGGGTGAAAAGTTCTGTTTCACTTTTCAAAAACGTCATTCTTTCATTTGATTGACAAAATACATTGTGTGTAGCAAACATTTGAGCTGACCATTGCATCTTTTTCTGTTCTTTGCGATATGCGAATTGCGCATGCCGCCATCACCTTGACACATTAGCGATGTATTGTGCAGCCATACTACATAGAGCTTAGTCGTTACTACATCCAGCATATAGGCTACATTTTTCCAATTCAAGGTGAAACACTGAAAACCATTTTTATAGCGATGCTCCGATCTAATCACGTGAACAGAAATTGGCCAGACATTGTGATTTTCAGGAAGTTGGAATCGGTTGGGGAAAATCTGATTAAACCATATTAGACAACAAAGATTACTTTTTAGATTCACCCTGAGAAAGGGATTTTCCTACGGGATAACAATGGCTTAGTTTTAAATTCAACCACTTCCTCCACATCAGTATTCTTTGTTTCACAGACAACAATGCTGTAACTCCCACAATTTAAGGTAGTCTGAGAACTCGGACACCATAACACATCGCTGTTAGCTAACACAGAGCATAGCTGCCACCTCAAGAGAGAGAATGTGTCTGTAATTTGGAAGTATTTTTAAATAAACATCAACGGTAGTGTAATAGATGGATGTAATGTGTGCAAACTGGTCATTTAGCGAGGTTGAAAAGGTAGTGCTGTGTTCAACACTATGGTTCTGATGTGCCACCTTAAAGAAACCTAAACCTTCTCAGTTTGCTGCAAAAAAATGAATAAAGGAATAGTCTATGGACAGCAAAAATGCCAACATAACAGTAGGTGTATTCATCCTACTGGATGAGTGTCTGTGCTTGCAAATGTCTGTCTTTACATGCTGCTTGAGTCATGGTTAGAGTGGTTAGAGCTGTTGCCTTGCAGAAAGAAGGTCCTGGGTTCGCTTCCCAGCCTGGGATCTTTCTGCATGGAGTTTGCATGTTCTCCTTGTGCATGCGTGGGTTCTCTCCGGGTACTCCGGCTTCCTCCCACAGTCCAAAAACATGGCTGCTAGGTTGATAGGTCGATCTAAGTTGTCCTTAGGTGTGAGTGTGTGTGTGTGCATTATTGTTTTTCCTGTGTGTCTCTGTGTTGCCCTTCGATGGACTGGCACTCTGTCCAGGGTGTACCCCACCTGATTGCACATTGACCGCTGGAGATAGGCACTGGTAGACGCTATGTGTTAGCATCAGCGACTCTACCACATGGCAGAAGCTCCTCCAGGCTGTTGTTATTTGTGGAGATAAAACATCAACATTGCAAGTCAGTAAAAGAGTTGTTAATCAATTCGAGGAAAGATGTTCAAGAATCAGGAAGTAAGACTCCTAAAACTGCCATCTGAAGCTCAGCTGTGATGTGATTCACTTCTAATTCCTGGAAAGGGTGCACCCGTTTTCTTTACCCCAGGAGAACGACTTACAAGGCATTCATTCTTACTAAAAACCACTGCAG